TTGAGTGTACTTAATATATTGAATGAGTTGGATTTTTTTTTGTGCTTTGGGCTAACGTCAATGTCATCCGTGAACCATAAAGCCCCTCATGTGCGACCGGTGGTCAGAATAGCCGCTGATCCATATTACACGCATATATTATTATCAGCTGCAACAGGCGACCTCCACGATTGTGTATAGATCACCGGCGGCTCCATCGCTGTCCGATATATTTTCATAGACAATAACAATACAAATCTTAGCGAGGATAAAATATACAATCATTATACGCATACGGGTCCGAGGTTTCGATCGGTTATTGTACAGCGCAAATTGATCCATACACAACACAATAACATTAGCAGTAAAAAAAAAAAATTTGAAAACTCAAAAGTGCTTATTATCCATTATTATGTTATAATCACGTCGGCCCTTCGGTGGGCGACGGCGGAAGAACCGAGTTTCACGGTTCGACAAGAAATAAAAAATTATACACTGACATGTATATTTGAATACACATGATCTAATATGGAAGAGGTTTTAACAGCTATTCGAGTATTTTATTATCGTATCATTGCACAATTCAGCAGCGTTAAGACGACGCAGTCGATGACTATTATATTATGGTGTTGTAGTGTTATATGCATGTCGTTAAGGTCACCGGCGGTCGCCGTGGAAAATTACAAAGACACCAATAACATAATATTATGTATTATATTGGTCGTTGAAAATACATCATAGCCGGTCTTAGCCGGATGTTTCTAAACATTCACGCTGGTTTAAGTAAACACGGTTGGGAGGCGAAGAAGATCCGACACGCGTTCACTGTACAGGCTACTAAGTTGAAAAATCTGTTTTGTTCTACGACCTAAACAATATTACATATTAGTATATAAATCGGTTTCGGTATTTGGAACCGTTGCTGTCCAATAACAAATCTCTTATTTGCGTTGGACACGAACAGTTTCACCATACGTGCGTTGTTCAACTACAACACTCCAAATAGAAAATACGCAGAAAAAGTCCAGAGACAATTTGTCAACATTTACATTGATAACAATAAAACGGTAAACAATAAACTGTTAAATTGATGTTGTGCATAGTTATTACTTACAGTAAATACATATAATATATATATATTATATATGACCCGACATGTCTGATGTAGTGTTTAGTTGGAAGTAGGGAAAAAAGCAATTTTTAAAATGTATTTCACAATACTTCAACTCGCGTCTTGGTGTATACAAATATTAAAAAAAAAAGTTGTTTAATATTTCTCCCACTCCGATTCACAAGTCTCACCATTAAAATATTAGTTTTACAAAATGTTGTTGTTATTAACAAAAAAATTATCCTGTGTTTTTATTGAAACGTGTATCAAATGTCGCTAAATGTCACAATTCGACTTTTATGAAACTGGTATGAAAAAATACAATAAATGTAAATCACCAAAACAACTTTAGATTATGTCATTAAATTGATTAAAAAAAGTACGTATAAAAAAAAACTGTTGGTAGAAGTAGATATGTATATCATGACAGTGCAAAATAATTTATATGGTGTATATTTTGTTTTACCTCACCGTAGGATGAAAATGATAAAATCTTAGTATCCCTTCACTGACACTGTTTTGAATAAAAACAAAAACATTATTAAAACTAGAAGAAAACATGACGTTGCGCAATCGATTTCAGTAACTTTTATCGATGATACTTCACGTGGTGAACATAATATTTTTGTCTTGCCAAAAGAAAATTTAAAATTATGTCACAAATTATTATTACATTTTTTTTTATATAATTATTTTGTTGTAAGCAAAGTAATTTTCGTTTAATGCTTAAAAGTAAATGCATGATGTAAACTTGGCTTTACAGTTTACATGAATTCATCCACTCCAAAGGATACTACTTAAAACTCTAAGATTGTTATTTGATACGATTAAGAAAAAGGATTGCTGATTGGTGAACCGATGCTCCTTTTGGTTCAAAGGACGTTGTTGAGAGGTAAAATAAAATATTCCTAAAATAGTATCCGTAAAATGGTAATCGTAGGAAGTGTTCAGTGCTGAAACGTTTAACCTCAACAAAAAAAATGTTTTTATTTTATTCTGAACGATAGTGTAAAATATATTTATTTAAATATATCAAAATAATAAGACTGTTTGCTAATTATACTAATAAGACAGCTCAATGAACTAGTGAAAATATCATAGTAAAAAATCGTGCAGCAACATTTCACGAATCACAGTAAACATTGTGTACAATATACCTGTGGGCTATGGTAATAAAACGAGAAATTAATAATTATCCTTATGCATAACAAATATTTATGAGCGTTTGATGGTTATAATGTATAACGATATTGATAACAATTAATAATTCGCTGCTTAATAATCATAAAAAGAACTGTAAGAAAAATGATTGTCCTTGCCGGAAGAAAAACACTGGTCTACTTCGCGGTAAATACTACAAAAACAAGATATACTAAGAGATAATCATAAAAAATATTATTTTTCTCTTTGGGTGAAGGGCAGTATCAAAAATTGATATGATTTCACGTTTTTCTCTGGACGATTAATCCGTAGGTTGTAACCAATGCTGAGTTACAATGCATTTTAAGTTTTGCTTTCAAACAGTTAATCGAATGTATCAGTGTAATGAAATTTATTCGTTTTATTAAGTTTTATAAAAAAAAATATTTTAATATCCACCAACGTACCTTGATTATCTAGGCTTATAAAAAATACAAATGGGTTGAGGCGATTACCAAAACAATACGGCAATCACAGTGTTTTGAATTGGGTAAAATTGAATCGACTTGAAAATCATGAAATTAACATTGTAAAATATTGTGCTAGACCGTTCTACCTAATTGTAATTTATTATTTATTTTCAGACAAATATCAAAAATTATTTCGTTAAATTAAACATTGGGTCATCGAAAAGAGCAATTTTTTGATAATTGGCAATACACAATTAAACTATAACCATAAATTTAATCGTAAATCTGAATTTTAAAAAAGTATATAATTGCTAATTTTCAAGTAATTATTTTTTAAAAATGATATTATATCATAATAGCCATTGTTTTTTTTTTTTTTGGCTGACTGTGAAGGAATAAGAGTCATGTGTTTGGTTTAATTTGCTGTCCATTCTGGCATTATTATTTATAAAAAAAAAAATTTTAATTGTATCGCGTGACCTACTTAAACAAAAAAAAATGTACAACAACTCTTATTTAAATTATTCAGTTTTATTTTAAATGAATTACCTACACTCCCAAATTGTGAAAGATAATAGTAAGACATAAAAAAAAAATAAAAAATGACTTATTATATCATTCTATTCTTCCGGTAGGTTGTTATTTTAAACGCATAAACAAATGCGTCATAATAAATATTGTGAATATAATATACACAAATTGTACAGTTTATGTAGCAAAATGCATAAATAACTAGACACATGAGCTCAGGGTTTGTGTATGGCTAAATTATAAACGAATGACACAAATGTAAAAAAATAGTTTTAAAGAAATAATATACTATACTAAATACTAAATAATATAATCAACGTTAAATGATTAATTATCGCAGGCTTGTTTTATACACCATTTGTCGAGATAGCTAAAAAACAAAAATTAACGCAATTGCTATTTAATTTCTTAAAAATCGTATAATATATTTAATATGTTAAAATAACAGGAACAGTACTTTCGAAATCTGCATATTAACATTTAGCATTTTGTGAGATTGGTTAATTTTGAAGGAGACAACGATTGCCCAAAAAATAAAATCACAAATAATATTGTTTTTTAATTGTCATTCAAAGAACATTTTTTATTTCAGGCTAAAAAATTGTATTTTTATCATAAATATAATTTTCCAACAATTACATTTTTTATTGAATCCCTAAAATAGTAATTATAGTATTATGTATTATAAATTACGTAATATATTTTATTTTTTTAATTTTACACGTAGAAATTCTTTAACGCCAAGCGATTAACAATAAAAAAAAATATAAAAATTAATTTACAATTTATGTATAAATAAGAAGTCCATTATTCAACGGAAAATATTAGAGTTGTTATTTTATAATGCACGTTGTAATTCAATTTTCACACTTGTCCTCATAAGCATAATTAGATATTTTGATAAAGGTTATTTTTGGTAAAATATTAATTAACAAATACAACTTAGTGTACTTACTTAGGTACTTTATTTGTACAGTAATGAGGCGCCTTTATGGGTAGTACATTTTGTTTTTTTAAATTGCCGTAGCGTCTATTTTCAACGTTTTTTCACAATTTGTTTTCACTATTATTTATTATTGGCAGTATGAATTATTATTGGTTTAGTAGAATGTTAGAAATTCGATGACACTTAAAAAACGATATTATGAATATTGTATTTTTTTTTTTCAATTAAAGTAATTAAAAACAGAAAAAAGTGAATTTTATACAAACAATAAAAACGAAACCGGAAAAAGACGCTGACAAAACCCGACCTCCATGCATAGAATTGGTTCCTATATTACGTTTCAAAAATTTCAAAACTACCACAAAAACAAGGCCAGGACGGTTTATGGATTAACTTGGTTTTACACCTTAAACGACGTCTGTGTCGTTCATCGGGTACAATAAACATTGAAAAAACTGAAATCATTTTTCGAACAGCTATAATTCAGTCTTTATTAGCCAATGGCGAATGAAATTGTGTGTAAAAAAAAAAATCAATAATTCCCGTCATTCGAACTTCTCGATCAAAATACAATATGTACACCCGCGCACCCGCCAGACACCACGTAACGTATAATATAGTAATAATAATATTCTCCCACAACCTTGAACGTACCGCGAATAATATAATATGTAAATAAATCACGTTCATATTTTTTTCTCTTCCTTGCGCTCACACACAGATTTCCCATATCTTCGGGCATCCGAAAGACCGCGTGGAACCGCAATCCATAAGTCCCAGGGTTATCCGGACGGGTGGGGTCGCCGGCCGGCGTCTTATATAAACTCGGTTCTCGCCGATCGGCACGTTACACCAAAATCGTCTTCTCTACTTTACGCATACAAATATCATACACAGAGTTTAACGCAAATACAAAAACCGCCCAAAATCAAAACCACACAATGAACTCCCTCGTTAAAGTGAGTAGTAGTTGCATACTTATTTTTGTTTGTCCGTCCAAGACATTCGTTTTTCCGGTTCTGTGATATTTGCCTGATGCAAAAGTAATGTTTTTTACTATCTTTTAATGCCTTATTTTTATTTTACCCAACAAGGTGTTCGTCGTGTTGGCCGTGGCCGTAGCATTGGCTTGCGCCGAAGAAGCCAAGAAAGAGACCAAAGCCGTAGAGAAACGGTCAGAGGACTTGTCCACCGCGGCTTCCGGACGACGTGAGTACCTCTTGAACAACGCGTTTAATAGAGTTAAAAATCTATTCAGGCGTTCTTGTGTCAAATTTCATAGAAATACTTTTATCTTTAACAGTTCTTAAAATCCGATTTTAATAGGTTTACAATGTTTACGTCTTTCTTAATTGAGCACCTATTAAACCATTTTGTAAATTCGTTATACTTTAAACAAGCGCATACAAAATATTATACAGAAAGTTATATTATAAAAAAATATTCTTATTTTCGAGTACCGACAATCTTAGCTTCACCTCATTGGTAACTGATATTTTTAAAAAACAACATTTTACACGACATTTATTATATTATCGTATTATGATTTTCAACTAAATAATGTTGCAAAAATATTTTGAAAATATTTTGCTTTATACAATTTTAAATCCGATTTACTGAACAATTATTCAAAAAACGCAAAAAGATACATACAATCAGTAACATTATACGTCATACAGATTACAAACTAGCACTTAAAACATACTATTAAGGTATCTTAGCGTAATCATTTTTAAGCTCTTTGTAAAATCGAATGAAACGCTAACAAGTAAATTTACTAGCTAACTGAAAAATTATTATTATGTATTTCTAAAAACTATTTATTTATAAATGCACATGAGTACAATATGAATAATAACAATTAGTCTGTGAAAGAACTAGGCTACTTCAGATGTATTGCCTCTTTGCAGGGCCGCAGTATGCAAATTAGTACAATATACTAATATTATTAACATGTAAATAGTAACTTTGAAACATAAAACTAAAGCGCGCAAAAAATACATTAATTTACTTATACAGTTTTATGATTTTTATAGTTTTTAATATCTACCGTATGTTGTCTAGGAATTTTATTTTACTTGTGTTTTCGTTTTTTTTTTAAATTATTGTCACCATTAGCAGTATACTGCACGCTAAAAATATAGTACTTTTCTTCATTTTGACAAAGAGTAACAATGTTACAAAAATGAAGTATATTTTTTAAACGAACTAGAAACTGAACTAATAAATAGTTTTTTCTTAAACATTCTTCGATTCAATTAATCTAAAAAGAAAAATAAGCTTAATGTTCGCTCCTTCACCTTTTCCTTATACACAATTTATCCTATACTAAACCTTTTCCTTCGCTCATCTCTATCCTAGCTCAGAGCCAGATTAGTAAGAGGAATACATCTTCGGTAATAAAATTTCCGAATTTTGATTGGGTCAATCGTAATTAATAGTAAAATTAAGTTAGAGTAGTTACTACATGATTAAAGTTTCGATGTGAAATACCTATTATAAGTTTTAAGCTTATTATCAGTCAATTCTCTCTCTATTGGTAAACAAATATTTCAATGTGTATTGGCTTTGTTGCTTCAAGTTACCAAGTGCGATAATGGCAGTACAGTTGTAGTAGTATCATCTTCAATTTCTATTGGACCGTTTGGATGGGCCAGTCCACCTTTACAGTAATTTTTTAAATAATAAAAATTCGTATTCTCTGTAAGACAAATAACTGGAACTGAAGGTCGTCATCTCTAGTTAAATTATTCACTTTGACTTAGAAAAAACCATTATTTTGTATGCTATTGTTAACGCCATTAACACGTCTGTCATCGTTGGTCCGGAAAATAATAAGACTTAAAAAAACCTTCACCGTTAGCCACTGCCGCCTATATGATGTATAATAATAACACTATGTAAGTATTATGATGACCAGCCCGTCAAATATACGTTACACGGTATCACATAATAACCTTAAATGTATTTTTCTTTATTATTTTTTTTTTCGCTAATTCCTTCTAATTGGCCGCATTTTCCACGTTATTGTATTGCAACCGACAACGATTCTATTCTACCGGTCCAAGGTCACCGGTAAGTGTAGGCGGGCAATTGACGACGAACGACACAATAGTCAACGAGGCAATGATCATTATCATGATGATGATGATGATGATGATGATGATGATAATATATTTTAATATCCTTCGTCAATATAATGTGTTATGTGTCAGTGGAAAAACGACAAAAACCAAAAATGTTTCCTTAAGAAAATCGAACGTCCCCGACGAACTTACACGTGTGAACGTCCGTGGTGCTTACGGAACCGTGTCTGCTATAGATAAGGTCATCACCGTCCTTCGTACATGAGTTACTTGCGGTTTTTATTTTTTTCTACAACGTACAAACGCGATCAAAAATTAATAAATCCAAATGTTTAGCATAATTGTTCTACGCTTAAGAGCACTTCATTCATTTGAAAAACAAAAAAACTTTTTGTCAAACACAGAATGAACTTTCAGTATGTTGCCAATTTTGTATATTTCAAGAAAATTCGTGACATTTCACTCTCTTAATTGTTATGGTTTGATGCTGACAAAGATTAAACAAATAATGAAAGGCGTTATAATAGTTAAACGTAGAGGTCAGGTTAGATGATAATTAGGATGTTTCCATTCAAAATAAAAATTATTTAAGATCTGGAACGGGCTAAGTTTAGCATACTTTAAGATCTTTTAAGTTACATCTTTAAACAATGTTAAATACAACATCAACATTTGGTTACTTTACAGTAAATTGCCATTAAGTACTAAATAAATATGTCTTTATAACCTTTGTACGAATAATTTTAACATTCTTGTTTTTTTATCTATAAATTAATTGTATTTTTTAGATAAAAAATCATGTTCATCTTAAATACTTTTTATTATCTCAGATAATTGTTTTATTTATTGCTTCGTCTAAATATACAAATATTCGAATATTGTCCAAAACTGCGGGCGTATTAAAATGAGAATACGCAGTAACAATATTTTATTTATTGACCTGTTCTTCCGTTTACAGTGTTCTCAGGTCACGGTTACAACAGCTACCCGTCCGGCGGTTACAGCAGCGGCTACGGCGGATACCCGAGTTCATACAGCAGCGGATACCCAAGCTCGTACAGCAGCGGATACCCAAGCTCGTACAGCAGCGGATACCCAAGCTCGTACAGCAGCGGTTACCCAAGCACATACGGCAGCGGTTACCCAAGCACATACGGCAGCGGATACCCAAGCTCGTACAGCAGCGGATACCCAAGCGCTTACAGCAGCGGTTACCCGAGCACGTACAGCAGCGGTTACCCGAGCACGTACAGCAGCGGTTACCCGAGCGCATACGGCAGCGGTTACCCTAGCACATACAGCAGCGGTTACAAGAGCTACCCGAGCGCATACTCAGGCGCCCATTCTTACAGCAACAGCTACAGCTACCCAGGATCTTACAGCTCCTACGGACACAACGGTTACGACAGTGACGTATACGGCGGTTACAACAAAGGTTACAGCTCCAGCCCATACTCCACCGGTTACGGTTACAACAAGTGGTGAACGTAGTGTGAGCATCCGGCACTCGGTCACGTCTCTGTGGACTTAAGATTTTTTTTTTGTGAAATAAAAAAAAATAATAAGTTCATGTTTAAATAATATGTAAAAACACTGTCCATGTAATTGTTTTTTATATAAACTATTTTATTTATTATCTTCCAACAATAAACGAAATACATCTTTAAATGCGTGAGACTTTTGAATGTAGGGAGCTATTTTCACCTTTAAATGACTATTGAATTCCTATGGTTATTTACAAGCAACGTTCTATAAATTAATATTAGTAAGTACTTTAATTTTGTATTTAAACTTAACACACAGTTACATCTTATGGTTATTATTTATTAGACACAACGAGTAAATGGCACTATATAGAAATTATTGACTTGAAGATGACTTAATAATAATAATAGTATAATCGTTTATTTATCTTTCATTTCACGCTATAGGTTAATGCGTGTGGTCAAAGATCTACTGTAAAAGATATTACGCGATAACATCAAATTATAAGTACAAGGAAACATAAATATGTATGTCAAGGTCTTTAATAAATATGGTTTTAATAATACAACTCGGTATTATACACTAATTTTAATTGCATGTTATAACAACTATTGCATATAAATAATTTATTATAAACTATACTTTTGTGAATAATATGTTTGTACTGCAGTTTGCAGTTAGTCACCACGGTATTATGAAAATGTAATTATTAGTATTGCCTACGGTCTCGTCTTTTCTAGATAATATAATGTAGTAGTTTTTTTTTTATTGGAAATAACATGAATAATAAATATAATTTAGCTCCTTTAATTAACGGGTTTTTTAATAAAACACTAACAATTTATTTGTCGTATAAGGTTATTTTTCAAAATCAGATTAGTAAAATTGTCTTTTTAATAACATTCTTTCTCGTGCTATATATCAATAAAAATATTTTAAAAAAACTTAAAATTTAGAATTTATTATTGTGAATTATAGAAAACTTTTTGTATAGCCTTATAAATGACAATACATAATAGTTTATTATTGAAGCAGCTAGATTATCAAAATTGAATACCACAACATATTGTTGCAGAATAATATGTAGGTAAATATGTGTAAAAATGACAACATTTTGTGTTTTATCATTAAACAAATATATAAGTATATAGTTAAACAAAAATTTAAAAAAACACTAACCGTTAAACATAAGTGGGAATTTTGTAATATTGGCAACATTTATTTTAGCGACATTTAGACGTTATTGCTTAACACTAGCTGAAATAGTCAATAAAAAAAAATTATATCTTTTCAAAGTACAGTAATATTTAATATAAATATTGTTCGATGTACTCGTTTCGCCTATCACTTTCAACCGTTTTTAAAAGATCCCATAAAAATCTCCGACTATTTATGAGTACTTCCAAATTACTAAAAAAATAATGATAAAGGTAAGATAAAAATGTACCTATAGAACAAAACACTAGCACAAAACTATTGCTGTTATTCTTGTTCGTTGTAGTTTACCGCGAGTGAATAGAAGTTTGACACTTCATTTCAAGGGGTTGGTAAGCAGATGATGAACTCGGTAGATACGCCAAAATGCGATCAGTGATTTATGGAGCGTCTCGAGCCTGCCGTAAGTATAAACAAAAACGAATGCAGTTCTATTGTTGTTGTTGTCGTGTCGTTGCACTTTAACCCGTGTGGACGATTATTAGCGATAAATATCTAGCAATTGTCTTACCAGTTCCCACAACTACATCGCGTGTAATTTATTATGACATTCATGACAATAACGTTTTTCCCCAACAACAATCATAAGTATCTAAACAAAATGACCACTTGGCGAGCAAATACTTAGCCCGTGGCCGTTGACTTTTCATTCAGATATAACTCCGACAATTACTTTATGTACATTACACAATAATAGTTCATTAGTAATATTCATTTGTGCCTACGTGCACGAATATTAAGCGATATTTATACGTATGTAAACATAAGTAACCTTATGACTCGAACTGTTGTTGTCGAATCACTTTGGATATCTTCTCTTCTTGTTTATTGTCGATCGTATTGAAGTTTATTCTTGTAATTTTCAAAGCAAAATAGTTTACGATAAATGTTATTTATTAGTTGTCCATTGTTTTAGTCTGAATCGCTATTTTTCTACAGTATAATTAAATGGATTTTGGTTCCCATGAGAAAATATATGACTTAAAAGTAAAATATTTTGTTACATAACAAACATCACTACGTTATTATAAACAAATATACCTACATATGAAATATAAGAGTTAGAGTAACGTTTGAAACTTGAAAGTAAGTCTAAGTTGGTAAACATTGACAATACAATTATAATACAAATGATTAGTACAATAATAGCTATTATACATACTATTTCCTACTTGTAAAACGATTGTAGACTTCCATGCTATTAAATTGCATACACAATCCGCCGTCTCAGTGGTTTAACTCTGATGTCGATCTATTATTAATTATGTAGCTTTATAATTAGTAATTTCCAAGGGGCAGGAATGTTATTTAGTAGACCTGCGCCTCTCTCTGGGCCCTAGGGCCAGCTTGTTTGGTAGCGCGTTAGGTCGGCAGCTAGCTATAAGCCCGAAAATGCCAAATCTATAAACCGTCTAAGCCCCGATCGGCGGGAGTAACGGACGTTAAACGTAAGATAGAGAGAGCATATTGTAATAGGTTTATTTTTCACTAAAAAATATTATGATCAAATGTACAATTTTTATTAACTCTTAAACCTAAAAAGCTGATTATAATCGTATTTCACACACCACTTACTGAGTTAGGCTTACATTAGTTGTAGCAAATGTTCAGAGATTGACCGAAGGCGTTTGAGATTGGCCGCAGACGTTTCTCTGGCAGTTTCGGTACCTACTCAAAAGGCGGTCGTTGATGGTGTTTATGACACGTCGTCGGTCAGACATTTCCATCGCCACCGAAAACAATTCGTCGTTGATAACGTGGCCTGTCTTGTTGATGTTCGTACGGTTAGGTGCAGTGTCTCGGTTCCGGGGAATACACCTCGAGTAGTTCATCTGTTTATATTAAGTGTAAGTAATCGTTTAAATTTTGGCTTTTGGACTTTAAACAAATCCAATAAACGCGCATCGAGCACAACGACAATAAACATGTATATATAATATACTTATTGCATGAGGTATGTATTTGGCGACGGTGTTGGCAACTTGAGCAAACACCAATAAAATTCCAACCTTTACCCTTAGTTGCACAATTGAATTGTTTAAAAAACAAACTATATTCCAGACTATAGTCATAAATCACAAGAAAATTTATAGAACTATTTTGTTTTGAAGTAATAAATGAAAACGTACAATGTACAATCGTGCACTTCCGTGTAGTAATGAGTATCGTATAAATAACTACACATTTTTACTATCAAATAAGCTTCACTTGACGTCTACTAGATTTATTAAAAAACGTATAGTATACAAAATAATACATATTGAGTGGTATTTTTTAATATTTTTAAAAATATCATTAGTTGCATTTTTTTAGTCTACTGAGGGTGAATGCATACGTGCACAATGACAATTTTATCGAATTTTAGCAAAACAACTATGTAAGATTGATAAGGACTATACAATCATAGATGTGCAAGATATCTTAACTCTTATATAATAAATGTAATAAATTGACTAAAACCAACAAAACATTTTCAATACTAGCCTTACGACCTTTAGGGTCTCTTGGATCGACTTGCAATTGTTGACCACGTTTTTTCCCAAGACTCTTTTCTGGTAATTCCTGGAGTTAGACACTGTTTATTTTCACGAGAAACGTGTGCCAGAGAGGATTTTTCGTACCTACTAACTTTCGACTTAAAAGAACAAATTGAGCTGCTGACTTTGTCGTTAAAATAGCAGTCCCCGAAATTGGTGCTCTATAACTTGCAATAACTTTGGTTAGTCTGGTCAATAAAAAAAATATTGCGACATTCCACAGAGATCTCGGTGGCCAACGACGATCAATCGGTTAACGAATTTTTTGGATAAACGATTTTTAAATAATTTTCTATTTTTTTTTTTTTATAATTTTTCTCACACACAAACGATATATTTGTGTTTTAATAAAAAAAAAAAACGTGCAACTGTCCTTTTTAAAAACGCGACAAATACATCCCCGAAAAGTATTTCTTTTAATTATAAAGGAATATTTTTTAGTCCGTCTTTAGGTGTGAAAAAATTCAACGGCAACCGCTCGTCAAGGTAGTGGTTAACTTGTTTTATTTATATTTTCAAATCGCCTATCTCTGGTGGCAAATGAGTAAACCAATGTTTTTTAGTCATCTGTATTTGTTTTAATATTAAAATGACACCCAGCAACTCTTTATTAAGGACTAAACTAAGACATTTTTTGTAAACTCTCAATTTACAGCTAAAACAGTTTTAGCTAGAGTTACAGTTTGAATAATAATATGACATTATTGATCTTCGACATTAAAATATAACACGTTTTCAAAAAATAATATATTATAACAGTTTTTTTTTTAATTTGTATAGCATACATGTTGTATAAAATCAAAACAAATTCATCTTTTTATAATCACACAATTTTTATGTTAATAAATTATCATTAATTATATATAATTACACACAAATATGTTTTCAAAAATGTATCACATTAACTTAGATAAAAAAAAGAAAAATGAGATATGTAGATATAAGGCAAAATGATAAAGACACGTACATTTGCTCAACAGAAGAAAAATCATTACAATGTAGTCGATGTGACTGCGCTTACTCCATGTACGAGAACTGTAGGTGGCAAATTATTAGTCAACTCTGTCAAAGCGTTTAAGAAACTGACATTCTGCAGTTCTGATCCACGAGGATCCTTTGGTATCGGCAAGTATACAAAACATATGGCGGTCTCGGCTGATTGTTTTCTAATTAGCTGGTTAACACTGTAATTATACATTTTATTATTATAAGAAGGAATTAACGCATTTAACATGAAATAATTAACAATCACCTAGCTATATATGATTTACTATCAGTTTCCATAGTTCCTTCGACTTCGGACCATTCCTTTACCTAAAATTAACCATTTTATTGAGTAAATTTATTTATTTTTAACATGATTATATTTTTAGGCTGAAGATCATTCAATGAACCAGGTGATGCGTGATTTTCTTAGCGCTGATAAGAGACAGCTGTTATCAGTAATCGCTTAGCTCAACAATCTATCGACATTATAGACCATGAGCTTTAACTATTCATAAGGCTAAAAACATTATCATTCTATGTTTTTTGAAAAAAAAAAAAGTTTTTCTTTGTGCCATTTACCTCATGGATTGTAGCCTTTATCCTGAGTTTATTTAACAGCAATTTTAACTGCCCTCTTTGACTTTCTATATCGACGTTATTACTGAGTAAATGGACGCGTAATATATGTTTCTTGTAAACGGCTATCATTTTAATGATGCAAGCCAGTTGCAACATGAACAAACTAGAAGTATCGTACGCATCGTTCATAGATGGCCCAAGAAAGTTAACTGGCCATACATCAATGTATTTGTACTTGGGATTCCTATAAAAATAGTTGTACGTGAATCATATGCTTAAACGTATTATCATCATCATCATGTAGCAACCCTTGAAGACCCATGCAGTGTTGGGCAAGCTGCTATCATGAGATGTCGGTCTGTCGCTGGAGAAGGGGATGATGGCTCTTTTTTTCACCAGACAATTCCTCGCCCAGCAAACAGAGCGCTTATGACCGAGTGCTAAACTGGCCACTAAACTTACCCACTCGGTCACTTATCCTCCTATTACTTAAGCAAATTGTAATTTTAGTTTTAGTCATTTTTTTTTTCCATACTTAATGATGTCTGCCTTGTTGTAGAGATCAAAGTGACGACAAATACAAATGTTTTTGTGCATTAAATACACGTCACAAATCATCGAAACAAATTCAGAAGCCGTTAAATGCTTTCCATCGTTTGGCGACCTAAGAGGAAATTTTTCATCATTAACAGTTACTCCTTGGAACGTGACTGTTTTGTAAACTGAATCCAATCTATAATAGTACAACATATTCCAAGTAATTTAATTTTTGTTATAAAAATTAACAATAAAATAGTTATGGTTTTTATTTATAAAATATTGAGATTTTAATTATACCTGGTAAAATAGTCAAATGGAACTTTATCATCGTAAAATCCAAAAACTACAGTATTGGGTTTCATCGCTCCCATACCCGATATTCTTACTAGATGATGTAATCCTTCTCGCACACTTCTCGCTACTGTCAGTTCAACAAATGCTTTTACCTAAAAAAAAATGCACAGTTTTAATGTTAATATTATAATACAACCATTATTTTAAGGGGAATGAAAGCGTTATGTTATTTTGATATTTTATACCAAAAAGCCCGACTAAATTTTGACTACTCAGAATAGTATATAGAATAGTAATAGTCCTATTTCAATTTTGTAAAAATATAAGAGTTCTTAGGCTATTTTTTACTAGCTTATGTTAGAGACAGATACATACATTTTTTTACTTATTTATGTAAAAAATTTACTTTTTAATATTGAAAAATGTTCTAATTTAATTTATTAATTACAAACAATTGGATTTTTTTAAATAAAAATTGGATTTCAGTATAACCCAATAAATTTATATATTTTTATATAAATGAATATAATTTTCTCACAATTTTACTCATAGAATAAATATACAAGTTAGAATAATACCATAAAGGTTCGACAAACTATCCTGAAAAAATTGACATGGTCAAAATTGAATAAAACCACTTTTTTCTTATATATTGCCTATATTATAAAATACAAAAAAAAAACTGGTTGTTTTCAATCCCCTGAACAGAGAAATATCTGTGAAGAATAATTACAAGCAATAGATAAAGCATATAGATTAAGTGGACGTATGTTTAATTACTTTGACGTGGTCGACAAGAGTCAGCCAGTTTGGCATGTAGGTATCTGTATAATCCAAATTGGTTTCTGTTTCGCCAACTTTAACATGTCCTAACACAAACAAACCGCTTTTTTTTAGATCGTTTATAAATGTAATCATTGGACACGAAGACCTAGGATTAGCCACCATTAGTAACATCTGAGGTCTCCAGAACTTTATGTGATTCTTCCTTGGATCCAAAAGCAGTAAATATTTGCGTACCTTAAAAGCGGTATAATTGATTAACACTAAAGGTACATACAACAAAAGCAAACATGAAACATACCTGATGAAAAATCAATGCTTGAGATATGGATCCCCATTCCGTGGCTTTACATGGAGAAAATAAATGCAGCAAGAGAATCAATAAAAGGCATAATCCAAAGCTCGTTGAAGCATAAAACGGATTTATGACAAACATCATCACAACACATCCCACTAATCCTATGGAACAGGTCCATACAGAGAAAAACTTGAAAGAGGGCCTAATAAATATTTTTAAAAATGCAAAAATTAATTATAATATGACTTACAGTTATTACTAAAGTAGAAAAAAAAAAGATTAAAATAATGTTCAACATGTCTTCACTACTTTAAAAATATATTTTACAATATGTTAAGACATGAAATTTAATGATTTCAAAATGTTATCAATTAATTTGGGTATAATTTAGAAATTAATGTTTATACAACATTTTATGCAAAACCATCACTATAAATATTTTTGAGGGCTTTAAGTTGGTGGATTATTGATAAATTGCTAAGGTTTTTTTGAATATTTTAAGAACAAAAACCTACTTTCTAATAAATGTAATAATGTACTTAGTTAACAAATACAACATTGAAAATTCTTCAGCACCCAGCCGCCAGAAACAAGACATTTTTCAGATTTAATAATAGTCAATAGGTCATGGGACCTATATGTAAAAAACATTTACATACAAATGTATAGGTGTAATGCCCTATTAATTAACTAATTTTTTCTAACTTTGACCATGAAAAACTGATTTTTGTTGACTGTAGATTGTGTTAATTTAAAAAAGAGAACAGTTATTGACAATCATTATTATTATCCCATACCTAAAATTGGGAGCCGAAGTAAGGTCTAAGCCAAGGCACGTCAAATTCAGCGCTACATAAGCCAACAAAAACAAAATGGCATTCAACTGAGCAATCAAGTTGAGTGATCCAATAAATAAAATAATCTGTACGACTGCCCAAGAGAAAATTACTGCTGCTATTGGATTTGAACGCCAAACTCCATAATTGACAAAATGTAATAGCCGACCTGAACATTTAGAAAATATTATTGATATGCTCGATTATTATTGAGTTGAATACTTACCATAAATGTAGTCTTTTGCTAATGCTTCAAGTACCCTACTAGCACCGATTAAGCAGCTGAGACTAGCTGAAAACGTAGCAGTCAAAATACCTATGGAAATGAATGGAGGCCAAATGTTAATAGGCATTAAAAATACATAGTTCTGCTGAAGTAACTCTCGAGAGCATGTCGCTGCGACAAAAATAGATAGACAAATGTATGAAATAAACGTAAACAATACTCCGCCCATTGTTCCTCGAGGTATACTGCGAGATGGATTCTTTAAGTTCCCTATTAACAACCAAACAAATTACTATTAACATGTTTTATTTAAATTCTTTAAAATTGATTTACCAGACATATTAGCACCAGCTAAAATTCCTGTGACGCCACAAAATAGTACACCAAACACAGATGAAAAAGTGACGGCTATATTGCTGGACGTATAATCAAATCCAAAATCTGGACCTAAATTTGTTGTCAAAGTGGTCAAACTAAAACCCGTGTAATTTAAGAACACAGTTTCGTTTGTTTGATTCACAAAAGTATTTGCAGCTGGCACCTCGATCTATAAACATTAATTAATAGTATTAGCAGTAAGAAAATATTATATAATTTTATCATATAAATTACTTGTAATGGAGGTTTCAGGAAGAAACTAATAAATGCAGATAGCAAACACATCACAACAACAGCAAATATCGTCACAGTTGTTTTTGCAAACAATGATGCTCCGATCAAACAAATTAATAAATTAAAAAAATTTAATGAAGATGCATAGATGAACCTCCACCAACGACCGTCATTTAATATATTTTGCATTAAATAACCTGAAAATAAATTGCACTATTATTTAAGTCTCAATAACATGAATGTAGTTCCTAAGCAGTCTGATTCTTCTTTGGGTAGTCACAATAATACAAAAGTATGAAACATAGTATAAAATAGTTATAAAAATATATTAACTATACTTAGAAATTGGAAACACGTGGTAGATAAATATTATATATGAGGCATTTTTAATAATTAACTTACCAGAGTCTCCAAAATTGTCAATGAGGCCTTCTACACATCCTACAATACAGAGGGCACTGCTTACTATATTCGCGAAAAAAAATAACGTGCCGATAGAGCCTCCTAGTTCAGGCCCTAATATTCTACTTATCATAACTACACATGTGATGTAAGGGAACTTATTAGATGTTATTACTACAATTACACAACTACATTAAACAAATACAGAGTTAAATTATAATTCATAAGATGTGGTTAAAGGATACAATAAGCGCCACCGCCTTCAACAGCACCATTGGTTGATATAGCACAAACAGACATCACAGTAAAAACAATTATTATATAAGCAATAACAAATTGTAAAAGTGTTTCAATTAGACCAGCATTTCCAACAACAAATCCTAAAAAAAAAAAGCATAAAATTTAACACATACATACTTAATTACGTACTATGGTCTGCTCGCAGCTTTTCATTAAATTAGAACCGTACCCACTCGCAAGAACAACATGGCGCTAAACATTGAGAGACACACAGGGGCAAACACCCCGGAGAAAGTACCGAGAGTGCGGCCGCTGGTTGGTTCATTGATGTTGCCAAATTCGACATATCCATTTTTAGTTACTTCTTCACTGTCGCTAGTGTTGTTGGTGAATATACGTGAAACGTAATCTAATATCTGTCGCCGACGACTGACTAGCGGTATTTTTTCGCCCATACTTCCCGAAAACGGCACCCCGGTTGGCGAGGGACTTGGATCAGAGGAATTCATTGTTACTTTTGAGGAACGCTATTCACATATATTACATTTATTAATTGTTTTAATACTTAGATAAAAGATATTATTGTTTTGGGTTTCAAGGAAAACCAAGTCTGAGCTTAAAAAAAATAAAACAATAAGGTATTGTCAGTTCGTAAAAGTTAAAAATTACATATTACTACGCACACCAATATGATAATTGATGATGTTTGATGAAATTGAGTTATTTGTAAACGTTTGATAGGAATTATTCTGTGATAAGCCATTGATAACTGTACGTTCGCCGTTTTCCGCAGCCGCCATTATTTAAAGTTATACATATATTATTATGTTATGAATAATATAGTATTATTAATTGAAAAAAACGTCTGATATAAAATTAGTACACAAAACATAAACTATATACTTTAATAACGCAACTTTGGACTAATCGACTAAACCGAATTTAAGTTAAACAACAAGGAATCACCTAAATAATTTTTACTTTTGATTATAACCTAAAAGCCGAGAGGTAAATTATATTTAACACATTTTATCCACATAATTGTATCTACAAGTTGTAACATTGATATCATTCTCAAACCCGTTATGTAACTGTCGATAACAAATTTTATTGTAACTAGTATATTATTATTTAATAAAATAATATAGATGCTGGTCGCTTGATCAATCAACAAATTCCTTGTGTGTGGATGTGTTGTGTATTACCTACACGTTTAAAATATTTGCTTTTGAAGTAGGAGTTTGGTTTTTATTTTAGTTACTAATACTCCAGTGATATTTCAAGTTATTACAAACTATTAAAATTATACACATAGAATGTAATGTAAAAGATAACAGTTCCGAGGGGAGTTCAATCAGTGGACTTTGCTCTTCATTGTATATTTACCTACAAATTTAAAAAAAAATATTAATATTAACTGCAGATCGCTGTTGAACTCTAATACGTAAATTAAAAAAAAAAAATATTTGAATGAATATTATTATAAAGTATTAATAGTAGTTCAGTATTAAAGTATCTTTAGGTAGGTAGTTATTATTATAAATCATGTTTCTTAAACAAAAATTGCTTAGTGACAACATGTTACAAGATTACCTAAAATTACAAATAGTGATAAAATAAGAATAAAAAAATATTTGAATTTCTTAATTTTCAATGATACAATACTAATAGTGATTACGGGTGTAGTTAACACAAAAAATAATAATATATATTTGCAAATAATAATTAGTGTTTTATTCATAAAATCACTTAAGTAAAGATAACAAAACCAAATATTACACTTATTAGATTAGAGAAAAACTGTAATAGCTCCTATAATATTTTGTAATTTTACAATTGAAATCAAATTATTTGTATTAATTAATCATATACTACACAGATATCTGAGTCTAGGGTTTAGTATATTTTGTTTTTTTGTGATTACAAAAAAAGCCAAAAACAAATAAAACTTATCTTTTATATGATATAAATATTAAATTATAAAAAATATAAAATAGTAAATTTATTTATTGTGCACAAACAGTTACATTATTAAAAAAAAAACTATAACTATATAAAAAAAGTAGAATTTTTACATGTTCTTTTAGTTTTAGTAACTATTTTAATTTAACAATACTCGGGTTACATTTTACAATAATTGTAACAGTAATCAAAATGAAATTCACAAACATAATTTATTACAGTAACAGCGCCAAAAATGTATTACTTTAGAGTTTAAAATTGATTTTTGTACCTAAAAATATTATAAATTCTGAATAAAATATTTTTACTACCTATTTAATTGCCGTAGAAAAGGAAAAAATGTGGCCCTAATATTGCAATACAGAATATTGGACTTAGTATTTGTTAAATAACAAAAATTGTATTAATTAACATTTATCAGACTTGTATCATATTAAAATAAATGAGATCATAATTCATTTTATTATTACTAAGACAACATTTGTTAAATATGTAAAATTGTTTTTTTTAAAAACAATAATAAATTGTATTCACTGTCAGATCACTGAACATAATATAAATGAAAAACACTATTTCATCTAGTAAATCTACTTTCTTGAAATATCAATTGAGTTCTTATACCATCATTTTAGTTTCTAAATAAGGAATGTTATAATATCTTCTATTCAATTATTAAAAAATAGATACATTTTTCTTGAACAATTTTTAGTCACAATATCTATAATTTAATCTATTACATTATTATTCATTATAACATACCAAATGTAAAGTTTGGCATTGATTTACGCATAATCATTGATTGTTTGATTTTAATCTGAATAAATAATTTAAAAATATACTATAATGCTAGGTATTATAAATAATTCATGCGTCAAGTAAATAGAGAATACTACATTCATACTATTTTTTTAATACAAAAAAATGTAGTTAAACAAAAAAATATATTGGCAGTATACATACTTTTTATGGTCTGATCAAATGATATGGAGCTAAACTGTGCTTTTTATTTAAAATTTTATATTTTTAATTGAATAAAATAAATAAATAAATACATATTATAAATACGAGTTCATAATTCTCAACTTTTGTCGATTTATCAGCCTTTGGATCGTCCGTGCGGTAGTCTTTGTTGTTCGATTAACCCATCGCGTATGAGCCGTAACAAGGAAAGAATCCGTCCGATGGAACGTATCAACCTCTGATGTAATTCAACACACTCTTCGACGGACGGCAATATGTGGTGGACCGCTCTGGTAAACTCGGCTACTCTATCAAACACGCTTTCCAACAGCCGAAGGCGACTAAGTTCAGCAGACATTTTTCCTAAATGACTAATTTCCATCAACAACAACTGCTGTCAACTGCACTGACTAATGGAACGCAGCAGATTACTCATGAAAAATAGTTTTAAGAATATTACTTGACATTTGAAAACTACTAAAAGTCACATAGGATGTTAAATTGTTGTCCAGTTTGCATTTGAAAGCAAACACTAATCGACATTTTTGATTTTATAGTTCTTCGGTAATTTTTAGTTAATTTCAATATTGTTTACGTTTTTTTTAATGAGATAATGTTCTTTATCTGTTATCAAACAAAATGCATACTTTATAATAGCAATCCAAATAGCACACCGACACGGCTGCAGCTGCAACAGCTGTTTCATTGTTCGCAGGGCACACCAACTTTTCCATGGAAGAAAATTACTTAATTTTTTTTGTAAAAAATGAAATAAAATAATAATAATTGCTAAACGAAATTAACCACAATTCAAATTTCAATTCATTCAATTTTTGAATTGTATCTAATAATTTTGGAGTTAGTAATAGCCCAGATTAGATAGATTAGGTTTTATCTAATTTGTGGTAATAGTAACTATTTTGTATTAATATTATTATAACCACTTAAGAATTGTAACCATCGTCTACCGACTATCTTAAAGTTAACATAGCTTTAGCCTTTAACCATTTTTTTTAATTGTTAAAAAGCTACTATCAATTTTCATTAACGTACTTGTGTAAAAATAATTAATTGTAATGAGTAATTGGGTCTATATTTGGTCCATATGAAAGGTCTGACATAATTGGAAATTGCAATAATCATAGCTTCAAAATTATCTTAGATTGTTAAATCTAAAAAGGGCTTCAAAACATATAGCTGTATTACTATGTGATGTATGATGCAATATATAAATTTACATAAATCTATTTTAAGGTATTTCTTTAATATTCAATTAAAAAAAGGTTATTATCACATAAAACAAAATTTTAGCTTGGGTTAGAACCTTGAAGGTACAGATTTTACAAACAATTTTTTATATGATACTTCTGGAACCACTGATTTACACAAATAGGTAGAAAATAAATCTTGATAACCAAATGTTATTTGGTTGTCATTTTATTTTGTTGGAAGGGGGTTAGTTATTATTACATAACATATTATATATTTTGTAATAAAGCTTATTGAGGACAGTCCAAACAAAAAAAATATAATCATATCACGATTACAATTCGAGGATAAAATAATTACTGTTGTAATCTAGCCAACAAATTACTATAAAAATAATGATTAAATGATTATTACTTTATTTATTAATTTAAACAAAAGTAAACGTCGTTCTTAATATATTAATTATACCAGTTAAATGGCTTCAAATTGTTAATTTAAAAATGTATCTGTATTCGGAGGTTTAAAACAAAATAATAATCCCATAGCACTAACCATAAACATTAGGACATATCTCATAAAAATTCTCAAGCCAGTTCGAAAATAATTGTTTATCAACACCAACAATGCCATTATGTAAGATTTTAGCTTAGAATATAAACATGTAGATATTTTATATTTATAAGCGAGGTCAGGGTTTGATTTGACCAAGCAAAATACGCTCGTTCACCTTAAATAAAACATTAATACCAACCGGGTTATTGGCAGGCGCCAAAGAGCCATTAAACAAGTAGTTTTTAACTGAAAATTAAATTGTCTAAAACATCAAATGGTTGTATAACATGTAGTGTCTAATTAAATAAAACTGGTTATCTACTGGTATACTGGTCGGCAATTATTTTTAGAAGTTTTTAAGTAGTTTTAATACAAGTGTCAAGCAAACTTTAAATATTTATTATAAGGTTTTATATTATAATTAAAAATCTCAAGTTAGATAAGGTTAGAAAACAATATGATATTTTAACTATATTTTACCTACATGTTGAAAAGAGATTTTTCTTTTTAACAATAGTTATGTCAACATACAGATAAACAAGGCTACTTTATTTTTATATTTACTTTGTGAAATAGATATATTCACAGGAGGAATTTCTATCAATCAAGATAAAATAATATAACACACACAGTATATAATTATATTATTTATTGCGCTAATTTTTTTTTTCGTTTTGTACAAAGTTTACTCATACGCAATTAAAAAGTAAAATAATATTTTTAACAATCAAATAAATCATAGAATAGAAAAAAATTAACAAAATTTTCTACACTTCAGGATCTGCTATTTGCCATCTTTTTAAATTTGTTTGCTAAGTTAATTTAAACAATAACTGTAACGATAAAATAAACACATTAATAAAAAAGAAAAAAGTAGACAAAAGAAAAAAACAATTTAACTAAGGTTAAAAATAATAAAAGAAAAGAGGTATAAACAAAAGCAATACATAATTTATGTATAATAAACATATTTTTTTTATGTATAAAAAAACTCAACAAAGTGGTAATATTTAATTATTATGTATTACATTTTTTTGTTAGATTATATATTACTTTATGTATAATATTGTATAATATATATAAATAATATACTTTAGTAAAACGAACGACTAAGTTTACAATGTTTTTTCAACTGATTTTCGTATCGTAACAACATTACAAATCGGCGGTCCCTTACACTAAGTCTATGTACAAAAAAAAAAAAAATACCTATAATTTAATTATCACCCTCTGACAAAAAACATTTGTTATTGAAAAAAAAAATATGGATCAAATTATATAATAAGAATTGTACATTTTGTTGTAATTAAAGTGATTTTGAAAGGTAATAGAGAAGACTGGGAGGGGAAGGGAGAAAGGAAGAAAGTATAAGTAAGCAGCACCAAAAAAAAAAAAAAAAAATGAGTATAAATGATTATAAATTAATATAAATAAAGTATCGGTACAATTGCTTATTACATAATTGCTGTAAGCTCAGGAACCTTACATTCTACAGTTTAACATTAGGTGGTTTTTTTTTAATGATGGTTTAATTATAGATGTAATATGCATTAAAAAATATATATATAAATATATATTTATACATTTTGTTCTATTTAAAATTAATACAAAATTTCAGAAAAAGAAAAAAATTATACAAGACTTAAACAAGAAACAAACAAAAGAAACTCTGAAGTTATAAACATAATATTATTAATTGTAATAATTGTCTATACACGTAATTAAAAATATTTGGAAAATATATTATAATAGGATTGACATAAAACATAACAATTTTCTTTATTAAAATTATACATATCATATTTTTGGTTGTGCGTTTTTTAAAATTATTATTCTTTTTTATTATTTCGAAACAAATGGAACTTTGCAATTATTACAGCATATATGCAATCAAAAACTAATGTGTTCAATGTTATTATTTACATTAGATAATGTCAAAATTATACTGAAACAGAACAAACTATATATTTATATACATAACAAAAAACCAAATGGTGAAGATATTTTTTCTTTAAAATAATTATGAACAATAATGCCATAGGACTAGGACGTAATTTGAATTTGGCTTGTTATTTTATTTAAATATTTTTTAAATCACTTAAGTCAGAAACGGTTTAAAAATTAAATATAAATAATAATAAATTATTTTATGCCAACCAGTCAATAAATTCTATAAATTTATATAAATAACTGTGACTAGCCGAACATGTATAGATATACCTACAATTGTCGAAAGTTGTCTAAAATCTAGATATGTATTGTTTAATTTTTTGGCAAAACAAATAGGCTATATGTGAACAATAACTGAAATAATTAACACACAACATGGTCTGTGGTAATGTTTAGAATTATTATCAAAATGCATACGAGTGAGATTAAAAGAACCATACAATATAATCAAATTACATAAGTCGTCAGCATAAAAAGAAAATTATTCCAGTTTCCATAGAATTAATATATTTATATTTATATCACACATGTGTTAAATACTTAGCAAAATGTTGAAATGCAATTAGATTTTTAGAGATTTGTATACATTTCATCCTAAAAAAACCATTAATACAACTATAAATTATAATACACAAACAATATCGTCATTGTTAATATAAAACAAATATTCCATGATTATAAGGAAAATTAACAAATTAAAAAACAATAATAAATGATATTATAGCATAAAAATGATAATAATATGGGCCTATGATAATTTTATATGTTTGATAATTAGCAGACTAAAAAATAAATCATAAAATCAACAATAAATAATAATAATAATAATGATGATGATGTCAATGACAATTTTATGCAAATCATACAACATTTGTTTGTTTGTTGAGTAAGTGTACCCAAATAGACAAGTATTAAAATTAGGTTGTGTAATTATTATAGTTCATTCTGTTCAGCTTGTTAACTTGATACTTGGTAACTATTTTATGTATAATAATAAAATTAATACTAAGGATGGATAATAATTTCGATTCTGTTTAAACCTGGATAATCAAGCATTAAATATTTGTTATTAATTATTATCATCATTATTTTTTAGCAAATAAAAAAGGTCAACAAATTCTGAATAAACATTTAGGTCTTTTAAAACACAGAATTACAAATTTTGTTCATTTTATGTCATATTATATTGCACTAAAACTTTATGAATAGTGCTACTTTATAGCTATTTGACATAATATTTTAATTGAAATTTAAATGATTTACACAGTGAATCTTAATTTGTACTTATAAAATAAGTATCTTTGTGGAAACACAAATTACATAAATGATAAATAAAAAAGTAGAAATGATAATTCTTTAGTGCAAATCGTCGAGCTCAAGGTTATAACTTATAAGACTTAACTCACTCAGAACGTACACAACAAATACCACAGGAAAAAGAATTTTGTAACCAAAAATAATGGTTTGTATAGTTTAACAAAAGTTTGACATGCGAATAAAACTTGTTGAATTGAGGGTTATGAAAAAACAGTAAATAAGTATAACAGAATTTGAGAATCGAAATAATGTTATTCCATCCTTAATGGGGAAAAAAAAATCAGTTTACAAACAGCAGAAGAGTATTTGATTTACAATTAATAATATCACTATAAAAATTCAATTTATTTTTTATAAGTAAATTTAAAAACAAAAAGATAATAATTTATATGTTAATAAAAATTGGTACCTAGTAAAAAGTTTGGTATCCAACAAAAAATCTTAATACTTAATTTACTGGTTTTAAAAAAATTATTAATAATAATAATAATAATAATAAAAAACATAATAATAATAATAAAATAATAATAACATTAAAGTTCATTATAGTGATGTTTGAATAAGCATTTTGGGACACGAATATATATTTGGTATCTTTAAACAAATGAATTACTTACTCGTGATAGGTTGTTTTAGAATAATTTAAACAACCTGTCTATGTATGCGAGTGGGTAGGGGAGAGATCATAGCAACTCGTACTGACGCAGGTGCATCCTCTGTATGATGTCGCGACAGTCATTGAACACGCGCCTAATGTTTTCAGTGTCAACAGCGCAGGTGAAATGTGGATAACAATAATGTTTACCTTCGCCACTGGCAGTACTGATACGCTGTGACAAAATAATTATAAATTATTTAAGTATATCGGTTTAAATTTAAATGTATGTTGAAATTAAACTAAACAACAAAATCGTACAAGGAACTCATCTCTGATGAAATATTTGGCGCGAATGACTGGAGGATCTTCTCCCGGATCAGGAGTAGCATCCATTGGCGTTTGGTAACGGGTAAATTCGGCAAAATAATCTTCTAGTCGCGATTTACCAGCCTTAATTTTTTCGGCCAACAAGTCTTGTTTATTTAAAAACAATATCACCGATATCGTTCTCAACCACCTAATAAAGATATAGAGCACGATAATGTCAGATATAAAAATCATATAATAACACATACCTGTTGTTCCAAATGCTTCGGAAAAGGTCTAACGACTCACGGAGCCGATTTTGAGTGGGGTCTTCACGTAGGACCATATTGTAACTACTACAGGCAGTTACAAATATGATGGCAGTGACATCATTGAAACACTGAATCCATTTACGCCTTTCGTCCCTCTGACCTCCCACATCAAACATACTGCAAGTAAACACAAAATTAACATTAATAATAAATATTTCTTTTGTAACAAAAATAAATCGTCTCGTAGCATATAAAAGACGTTTCAACACTTACTGAAAATTGACCTTTTCAACTTGAAACCGCGTTTCAAATATACCAGAAGTTAAAACACGGCATCTAAGTATATCCTAAAAAAAAAATTTGTTACGTTATGATAATTTAAAATACATTTTAGGCAGATGTTGGGGGGGGGGGAGGAGCTTAAGTTCCCATAGAATGTTTTTAAGCCCTGCCCCGGAAGGTTTTAGTTCTTCCAAACTTGTTAATTAATTTTCCAAACGTTTATTCTTAATAATTTATTTAAGATTAAATTATTAATTACACCCTTAGTTGTAAAAGTAAACCTGTACTGTATATTTTTAATCAGGATTTCAGAATATCTAAAGAATTATTGAACTATGAATTAAATTTAAAATGTTTTCCAAAATATATACATAGTTATTTCAAGTAGCTTTAACTATTCCAATTAGTTCTTCCACTAGTGAAAGGAGTTTTTCGGCAATGTGCCGAATTAAAACGTTGCTTCAAACCACATGTTTTACAAGAGAAGTTTACAGATACCTCTGTTTAATGTATAAAGAAATGTATTTATACTGATAAAATTGTAGATATATTTGGAAAAAAAATAGATTTATTACATTAAAAAAAATATATACAATAAGTATCAATAATTTATTTGTTTGTTTGTTGTATTCATATACCTATTAACTATACATATTTGTGCCATAGCTAGAAAAGATAAGCAGTAGGTTGAAGCGTAAAGCTTGAATAATTTTGTCAATGGGTAGTATAAAATTGTGAAACTCTCCTACATATGTGAGCAAATATAGTAAAGTACTAAATAAACACTGTTTACAGAATCATTTTTCTTGTAAATCTGTTTTGTGACTATTCAGCTGTTTAAAATGTATAATTTATGAACAAAAGCATATTTGAAACTGGTTTTTATTTAATTACACAGAGAAAAAAAAATTAAATATGACGGAGACGAACTAATTTTAGACTTGATTTAATGTCTTAATATACAAATACTCTCCCAAAAATAAAAATAATAATAATAAAAATAAAGATTTCACAAGATCAAATCTTAACATACACAGCAAAAACATAATGTAAAAATACCATAAAAGTAAATGATTTCCTTATGCATAGTGTAATAATTATTAATGTTTTAATTACTTGTTCTGAAGGCGTATAATTAGGTTGCTTAATAATGTGTACTTGATCGAGAAAACTGAAAAAAAAAGTATTAATTGCTTTACATCAATATATAAGGCAAAATTGGGAATTAATTAATACAAATTTAACATGCACATTGTGTGTATGTTTTAAATTATTACACACCAGTAAAGTCAACTCATGTATAAAAATTAAAAATTTAGAAAATTAATGCTTGCATTTATTTATATTTCTTATAAAACAATTTTAATAATGATTGCACAGTCAATTGATGAACATTTTTAGTTTATAAGAAAATAAGACAGATAAATAATTGTTGTATTAGTTTGATAATTTGTTAGAACCGTTAACAGTTAAAATTATAATTTATAACTAAATAATGATTACATACATTATTTTTCAGATAAAAACAAAAACTAGTTATGAAAAAAAAAAATTAAGGATAATTCAAGAGAGCAGAATGATGCCACAATATCTAATAAATTGAATGCAAATCCCAATATTCCTAGTATATTTGACATATTTATTAGACGTTTGAAACAGAATGTGATATGTGTCATATTATGCAAAATTTAACTGTTACTGCTTGATCCTGGATGAGTGACCACTCTGGATTTTATGGGGCAGCCCATTACATCTCACTACCTGAACGTGTTTACAGAAACCCAACCAACCAGAGCTAATGTTCTAATATGCCTAAATAAGTCTTATTTACAAAATATAAAATATTCAATGAATGATGCTTACTATTTTGCACAGTCGATGAGTTGATATTCGTTGGACCTTTCAAAACAAGTTTGAACACCTTTATCCTTCCACAGTTTTTCTGTGTGTTCATAAAACTCCTAATATAAAAACGAAAATACTATTTAACAAAGCCATTAACTAAAAATTAAGTTTTTTGGAATTTAAATACTTACTGTCGTGTATTCAAAATTGTGTTGAGAGGCGACATCTTGCATATAATCGACTCTGAGTTGATTTTCAGGATGTTCTAATTGTACTGGTGGAGTCAGAGTACTCATGGCTCCTGTAATTGTCTGTAAATAAAAATAAGCAACCCTTTAAATACAGTCGAGGTTGTATTATTATGTGATTTAACGCAATAAACCCACCAAAATGGCATCTCTAATGTTTTTTTTTATGTCTTCAATCTTTTGCTTCTTTTCTCTAAAAAATTATTTTTATATAATATATAATATGTAATATATGATTAGATACATCTATGAGCATTTTTCATAATTTATTCATAATTGTTTGGAACATACTCTTCACTAAATCCATTGACATGCAATATTCGCATTTGTTTGACAATTGTGCTTTTACCGGACTCTCCAGCACCTGTAAACACCACATATATAATTTAAAAAAAATTATACATGGCAACTAACAAATTTGAATGATTCAATTAAATTATGAGTGTTCTACTTTTATAATGCTTAACATAGAAAATTGATTTTCTCGGTGCCAAGGACTGTAATATATTCATAGTTTGTTGGTTAGCGCAAGGCTTGTTCACTATTGTTAACTTTAACTATCTTATTTTGTTTCGGATTTTACAATTTCTCGACCATTGTGAACAGTTGACACTATAGTAAGGAACCGAAATAACAGTTTTTTTCTTTAACGACATATTCTCGTTATTGTCTTGGTGATTACAGTAATATTCTGTCAATTAGGAATCACTGTTCTAACTTCCAAAAAAAAAAAAAAAATACTTTTTAGGCTAACACAGTACATAATAGCATACTGACTATTATCATCTTTCATTCATTTCAAACGTATACTTTAGTTAAGAGTTTACAATATTAAACCCAGACAATTCCATTAAGAAAACAAAAACTAACAAACTAAGCCAATTTTTGTTTTTAAATTTAAACTATATTATATCAAACCAAAACTGTTAACAGGCTCCATGTCACAAAATATTAATATAGTACCTACAAAATGTTTTAAATTTTAAAAAAAGGTTATTTGTACCTATTTGTGTTGTTTACGCATATTAACATGTACCTATATAAAAAAAAAATTGTCTATTAATGAAATACATTGCATTTGTTGATAAAAAAAACATCAATACATAAGCATAATAAGGAAAATTTGATTCTGTTGAAGAAATAGTCAAATATAAATTATATTAAATTTATGCTATAAAATATACCAAAAGTAAAATAGACATATAATTGTGATAGAGAGATTATGAGTACCTAAGTCTGTTTAAGGGAAATATTACATTTTCAATTATAATTATTCCTATTTTTTATTATAACCCTATTTCAAAAGCATAAACATTTTTTTTACAAGAACAAAATATTAGAAATTAGAAAAAGAAAATCATACTAAAATTAATGTAATTTTATACTCAAGAGTAAGTATTATATTATTGTATATTTTTTATATAAACATGTATATATATATTTTTTTTTTCTTTTTTGTAGATGTGGTGAGAAAAATATAAAATTAAAACTAACCAAGACAGTACAACGTTTGGCACACATTCAAGTTTATATTTTTAATCGGTTGTGTTATGCACTATCATGTTAGGTTATTAACATAGTTTAGCTGTCAAATGTAAATATTGTAATCTAGTACCTAACCTAGTAATAAAAAAGAAAAAAGGAGCAGTTTCACTAACGATTGATATAAATTGATATGACAGATTGTAATTACTACTAGTTAATACAAACTACATTTTCAAGGATATTTATCCATTTGAAAACTAATAATATGCGATACTATTATTCATTTTGTTATTTAGGAAAAATGATAATTAATTGTATAGATTGGTGCTGGTCATATATAGCAATGCCTTTTAAAGCAGTAGGGATTATTTTTTACTAATTAATTTTCAACAAACCTACACGTAATCAAAATGTAAATCAATAATGTCGTTTTACAGCTTAGTATCTAGTTAACATTTCGATAGGTAGTATTGTGTAAGATAACCGTTGAAATGTAGTCATAAAGTTATTATTTATACGACAGAATATAGATTTTTAAGAGGTTTTAGATGTGGATTGTCAAAGCGCATTTGTTCATGAGAACAACTCTACCTAGAATATATGATCAGAGAGAACCAAAATACTGTACGAGTTAACGTCATTTAACACCAAATGAGTGTACTCTATGATTAATTTTACTTTATCTGTATGCAAAGTATGGAATTGCACAAAATGTATCATCTAGGCAGACAGTTAAGAGATGTGTCACTGCGATAACGAAAATCTACATACCTACATCAGATTTAGGGACCTGCTATTGTCTTATCACTGATTCGTCGGTGACAGGGTACGGCTCACTTGGGGTCGTAGGTAGGATTGGAGAATTCGGGGGGCCACCGAAAATAAGTGGCACGGGGTTTTTTTGTACGACAATGGTCTGCTAGTTGGTTTTAACTCACCCAACAACAGTAATCTGTGCGTGGCCCTGTACACCTGTTTGTCCTTCTGCAGCTGCTGGTTTATCTTTTTGTTCGTCTCCTTGCCCTTTTTCGCATCGTCGTGATCCGTCTTGGCCGCGGCGCTACCAAAACACCCCATAACATTAGGCCAGCCTATTTTTGTGGATTTCCGGCGTGAGGGCGTCTGCTGCTGCTGTTTTCGCGGCGGTTGCGGCTGCGACGGCGGCGGCGGCGGGGCGGAGGCCAGAGCACACGCACTTATAGACCGCTGTGTTTTTTTTTATTAGTATTAAAATATTATATATTATTGTGTGTGTTTATACTTATAATATTCATATGCGAATATATTAAAATGTCGCTAATTATACGCGTAGAATATATTATATAATACATGTATTGTATACAGCTATACATGTACATACGTATAATAAATAAATATATATATATATATATAATTTAATATATATATATATATCATATTATATCCATATTACATATATATTTTATACACACAGGCGACAATATTATTACACACACACTACACACACACACACACCGTACGCAGACGACGGCCACACGATTTTTATTAAAATTCGCGAGATTCGATTTCGATATTCGATCGCACCACCACACGATGGAGACGACGACGGCGGCGGCGGCAGCAGCAGCGGCGGCGACAACACCACTCTACGAGCGGTGGCGGCGCGTGCGGACGACGGACGACGACGACGACGACACCACACACACACACAAACAACTATACAGGCGCACACAAGCACACACTCGCGCGCTCACAAGCACTAACTCGCGGCGCGCACACACACACACACAGCAATACCGATAGACGGGCGGTGCGGCCGTACGGTGGAGAGGGTGTATGGTGTGGTGTGGTGTCTGTGTGTGCGACGGCCAGCCGTGTATATATCTCGACACGGTACTCAGTACTGTACTACGGGCACTACGGTTCTCCGTATACTCTATACTCTATAGTGTATACAGGAGCGACCCCGAAAACGCGGAGGGCTGCTGCTGCTGGTGCGCGCCGCTCTGTTATCTCAAATGTGTATTTGTGTCTGTGTGTGTGTGTGTATATAATAATATGCATATCACTCGTATACACACATAATAATATCAAACGCGAATATCTATGTACATATGATATATATATATATATATAGGTACAATTATTATTTATTATTATCATTACACACTCGCTATACAACGGCGAGATCGTTGCGGCTGCTTGTCGTTCGGGTTGCGTCGCCGCCGTAGTTCGTTTTGTTCTCTTCTCATTTCTCATTACACCTTTAGAGTTTAACTCTTAGGTTCGGTGGCCGGTGCCCGCCATCGACGCCTGTCGCATGAACACAAGGATGACAGACGGCGAACTAGATTAACAGAAAATGTTTGAAACTCAAAATACTTTTTTAATGTTTCAGCTATGTATTTACGTAACACTGAAGACTTAAAAAATATATTTGAAAAACTTTCAAATACTGACCAAAATTAAAAAATGTAATAATCTGTAAGCTTTCGCCTCTGGCCACCGTACCAGCTTTTGTAATTTTACAATCATTAGATTAAATATACATAAGGTAAATGTGTAGGTTTTCGTGATAATTTTTTTTATTTGTAGGGCTTGAATTTGACAGAACTTTTAAATTAAAAATGTATAAAGTCATACTTTTAACTTCTATTTCACAAAATAAAAGTTTCTTTGAACATATTTTATTAAATTTTTATTTTAAAACAGTCATGTAAATATTTTTTATATAAATTATCTATTTAAGGCTAAAACATTTCTGGTTGAGAAATGTGTTACTCTGTATACTTTTTTGTACAAAAAGGTTTAAATATTGTACTTCCATAACCTTTATATTAGAGTTATAACTTGAAAAAGTTCTGTAACATGTGTTAATGCGTTGTTTAGAAGCTTATTTGAGAAACTATTTGAGTAGATAAACCTACAAAAATATCCATATCATATATTTTATTCTCTGGATTTTTAAATAAATTAATCATCAAAGTATTAAACTTTGTAGATTTGTGAATATTTGTTGGGCATTAAATTGGAACAAGGATTTTAATTTTAAGATTAGTCGTGTATTTTTTGATACTTGGAAAATTGTAAGACAAAAAAAATCAAAATTAGTAGTTATTGAACATTTCTTATTGTATCTAAGAGAGTTTAGGTTTGTTGTTCATGTAAAACCGCTTACATTTTTGTTTTTGTGAGAATACTTACTTATTTTTTATACGAGTCCTTAGTAATACTATACCTATACTAGTTGAGTAGATAGCTACTATTAATTGTCTCCATTGTTTGCGATTAATACGGCCTACCATTGATAAAGGATTTGCATCAAACTTATAAGGAGATTTTTTCATTTTCATATATGTATGCTAGGCTTATCTTAAATTATGTAGTTTAGCTGATACTATATAATATATTTTAATTAGTTATTTAACTTTGCCTTCGAAGCGAAGCTGAATTTTTACATTTTTATTACTTAGGTTAATATTTATTAATGCGTCTAAGTAATATAATTTATATTGCCACGGATGGTATTCACATTATATTAATTGATGTTTTTTTATTTTTTTATTTGAGTAGGTACTCTATTTTAAATACATTTTAACAGTAATCTTTATCGTTTACAATACATCGAATGCCGAATGGGTCTTATTATAGTTTCTAAGTTGTGTGACTAGTCAAGCAATTAGTGTAAATTAACAAGTCCAGCATAATATATGCCGGCCGTCGTATCTTTGACAATTGGTCTTTCGGTTCAGATACGCTTGTTAGTGGTCAGTAGTCCACGTACCTAGTCAACCGGTAAAAAACACATAAAACAACAATAATAAAAAATATTAGGGAACATGCATGAAGTCTAATATTATTGCCTTAAGATATTTTATAGATAATACGATAATAACCTATTATACAAAACCATATATTATTTATTATTTATTCTAGTATAAATGTTCTTCTATTTTATAACCACACAACTCCAAACGTCCACTTTCATTAGTTAATTATACATTGGTATGTCATTCTTTATGTTAAGAACTGCTAAATTAGAGAAACAATACCTATTTTTTTAGTATACTGGTTCTTGGCTGATTTTTGTACTATTGAGTGGGGTGAGGGAGGGTACATTACTTTTTACCATATTAAAATTCAACCAAATCACAATCACAATGTACACAATGTCTGAGAATAGCAAGTATAAATTGAAACCCTTTTATCCTTTAGTGAACGTTCGAGTATATACATTTTTTTTAACTTTCAACATTGCTTTTAAATATTACTTAAGGTTTTTTATCACACCAAATTCGAGTGGGGGGGCGCGCTTTAGTCGTCGAGGATCCCGGGTAATCAAAAGTCAGCAGAAACCTAAGGCGTTAAAGGGTGCGCGGGAGAAGAAAAAACAAATTCGAATTTAATCCGTCGGACGGCTCAAACCCGAATAATGGGCGGCCATGGAATAAGATACATGGGTGGGGGGGGAGTGCAGCTACCCGGTGCTCCAGCGGCGGCCACCTCCGCGTTTGCGTGTACCGGAAAGCGATAATAATGTTAATACATTTTTGATTTTTGCATAGCAAATAGCTCGTGGACGGACGATGACTTCCGTCTAGTCTAACGTGTACCTAATAATATTATCACACTGACCGCCGCTCGTCACCGGCCACCGTAACGATAATAATTTGGGAAAACCCTCGGTGAGCGGCCACTGCCAGGTAGGTACTATCGGATGGTCGATAATGCCCTGGCGCCATCTGTGCTACAGACAATTTCACTACAGCGGCCGCAGCTGCAACCGCAAGCTAGTGGGCCGCCACGGCCGCACGTTTCGAAATCCTTATCCGACCTACGGATGTATTTTTAGCGGTAAAGGCTAAAAATGGAACCGTAGAAATTATTAATACTATATGTATTATGTTTTATGCGCGGTAGTGGACCTTCTGGGCAGACATTAGAAGAAAAAAATGTATACATATGTATATAATAAATATACACACTTAAATATTATATATTTTATATACACGTGTATATCGTGGTGTAATATTATCATAAAGAACCGGGCGTGAGATTGCATCATGTTTATTATAGCGTTTTCAATAATGAAAAAAAAAATGCCATAGCCGAAAGCGAATTAATAACTTCAATTTATAAAAAGTGACTAAATGTTAAGGCTTATCTTATTGGAAGTAGAAAGGCATTAAATATGCTTCCAGTAGCGTAAAGTAGATTGATTGCAAAAACGAAGCGTCCCGTAAAGTCGTGAATTTGTTACAAAAATGTGAATGTTTTTTTTTAAAGGAGAGCTTAAGTATTTTAAGTGCCCAATAAAAACCTCGTTAAAAAAATAAAAAAATATTTTTAAAAATAAACACCCCCATTAAACATACAAAAGCAAAAAAAACCTCACCTAGATTCGAGCAGTACTTATGCTACAAATACCGTCAAGCCGTCTTTAATACAATTTATTTTCAAACATTTTGCTGAACAATTTTTGTCACGAAAAGTAAACAGAAAATATGCTTAGAATTATTATCTATATTCTATTTCAAAAGAATCTAGTAAAGCATACTTAATTTGTACTACAGATTAGTCGACCTAATTATTGTATTTGCTCTTTTAAAATTATTGAAGTCATATAATAAAATGTATGCATGGTTAATGTCGATGCAAACAATTTTCATAACAACTACTAAAAAATAAATAGAATGATCATAAGTTCTACTACACAAATTTTTATCTAATAAGAGTTATGAACTTTAATAATGCTGGTATAATTGTTAAAACAGTTTTATTTATGTATTCTTTAGTTATACATTTTTTTGTTATGAGTTGTGACACATTTTAAAAATAAAATGTATTTTATATACTATATATATATATTGGCGCCAAAACTTCTACGGTGCAAAGAATTATAACATCTCATGAGTGGATGCACTGATTAGGAAACGCTGATAAGCAATCGATAAATACCATGTGACTATAATAATAATATGATAAAACTCAGATTTAATTTAATAATCTTGTATTTACTATTTAGAGTACCTAGTTCGATTACACTTTAGTATTTTGCTATTAAAACCATTAAAAACTTCAAAATGTGTGTTTGATCTTGACATGTTATTTTACCTTATAATATGTTCTTTTTAAAACAATAGTATAAAGCATATTACAATTTTATTTTTTCGCTTAATTTTATCAATATTCCTTGTTTGACAATGGAGGAATGTGCAGGGTTTAAAGGTAATAAAACAAATTGAGTTAAAATATTATATGTATTTAGTACCTGTTAAGTATTTACTTCGAAAAAAAAAAGTTATAAGATTTAGATTCTTATTCTAAATGTATGGCCTCAAAATTAAAAAAAAAGAATCTGAACTTTGAATTACAATTCTCGTCAGATAAATGATATTATTATTGGTAAGCATCAAATGTTGTCTAGTGTTACGTCAATGAAAAAACAATATTATAAAGTTAAAAGCTAACGAATAGTTTACAACAATGTTATTAGTGTAATTTATACATAATAAACTTTTATTTTAAATAATAGGTTTAGTTTAGATATTGTGAAATATCAAAATATCAAACCATTTTTGTACCATGAGATAACACAATGAAAATGGTTTATTAATACTTGTCTGAATGTTTAACAAATTAGGTGAAACTCACATTTTTAGCTCCTAAAAAGAGTTCTAATTTTATAACGCTAACCATCTTTTAAACTAAATCTTAATTAATAAATCATAATAATTTCAACTACATTAATGCAGTTCAGTTACCAGTTACCTTTTTCAAATTTTGTTTTTGAACTTTATGTAATATTTTATGCTAAAAACGACGGAGAGTCAAATTCTAGCGGCTAGACATACTTTTGAAATAATAAGAGTTTACAGGCATAAGGAGTTTTTTAACATACTTAACCTCTGACTATTAATCGGGTTTGAATTTGTTAGGTCACCTTTTTTTAAAAAGGCTACTTGGAACTTAAAATATTTTATAATTTTAAATTATATTTCTTTTGTTTATTTTTATTTTATTATCATAGATCGACAAAAACAAAACAAATTTCTATGCAAACTGATTAAAATAATATTCATTTTTAAGCAAAATAAGATTTTTTTTATATAATATAATTTAAGTACTGAGGTTTGCGGCCCCAGCCAAAGCTTCTTGTCATTTACTTTATCACAGTTGCTATATAAGAAAGGCTTAAAATGTATAGTAGAATAAAAATACTATTTTACAAATTAAAAAAAAAACTTCATATCATATCCATTTTTTTACTAAATACTCCTGGGCGGAAGTAGTGTGTAAACAGTTCCCTCCCAGGTTAGCGATTACTTGGTTTTTACTAAATACCATATGGACAAAAATTATATAATACATTTTATGCAATTTCCCTATTGTAGTTATTCGGATAGAAAGAATAAGTGAGAAAAATAGACTTTTTTGTTTTGGATAGTTGAAAGACTATAGCAAAATATAAAATTAAGGACTAAAAAAGTATTTGGATACGGAACTAGAGGAAGAAGAAAAAACTATTTAGAATTAGTTTTTGTTAGCAATAAAAAAAAAAATACTACAACGCTACTGTATTTTACCGGCTTTTTTGTGCTTTTGTTTTTAAAATTTGCTTAACATATTTGGAGACATAAGGTTTGTTACACACATAGTTTTTACCAGAATATTGTGAAGTGTATTAATGTTTTTCAAAAGTATATTTTTAAAACCTTAAATCCACACTAATTGCATGCAAAATGGTAAATAACAAATTCAAACACAGTAGGTAACATGCGTATCAATTTCACATACATACATACAAAATATGTTATTTGTATAGAAACTGGTTACACATGTTCTATTTGAAATGTACTGTGTGCTAGTATATAATCTATAATTATTTAAATATGTAGATCAGTTAACGACTACCTGTAACAAAAAATATTTATCGTATTAGTATATTTACCACAGCGAATTAGGTCTGGCATTTTTTTTTCTATAGATTACCATTCTAATATCTAAAATTGCTAACATTTGTATAAAAACACTTATACTGATGTAATTTAAAAAAAAGACATAAAATAAGATTTTATTATCCTCAGTAGTAGGGTTCTTGATTTTTACTGGCTAATAACCTTAAAGTTAAGTACTCGGGTACTGGGATAGTAAGCAGGTTCCCAACACAATTTGGGTAACAGTTATTTTATACTTTTCATAGCCTTTATTCAATAAATTGAAAAATACGGGTGCCCAAAACTCAACTCTCCTCAATAATCATTATTGTAAAATTTGTCTTGATTAAAAATAAAAATAAATTAAAGTGTTAAATACTAAAAATTTTTTTTTTTTTTTCAGTTCTTCCTGTAAAAGTGAATGCAGGTAGTAAGGTAATTCGTCATCTGTTCATGAAAATGCATGTGGTCAGAGAAAAGTGTCCACTGAAGCCGGAATATCAAACACTCTTTGTTGTTAACATTCCCGATTATTGTGATAATGTAATAAAACATAATTGTATATTATATTTAGATTTATTTTTATTATTTAGAATCATATCTCTTACGGTTTATCTTAATATAATATGAATATTGTCATGTTGGTAGAAACATAACTCCAACAAGAGATCCATTGTGAAAAAAAGATTTAGAATGTGCAGTTATTGCCCCTATTTGGCTTATAGCTGCTTTGCTTAAGTTCCTTTTATTGCATCAAACTAATTCTCAAAGTCTGTAAATTGCCAAAAAATGAAAAAGCTTAACCCTACTATGCATGAATTTTTCAGAAAATTGTAATCTAAATTACAATAATAATTTAGATAATAGTATGCAGTGTAGGGTTAAAAATTGGCTCTTTGCTTGAGACAATTAATATTGTATAATCTACTATTGTTAAACTGTACTTAATTTTGAAACTAATCTAATGATAACGGCCATAAATATTACAAACTGTCCATTACTGTAGCACTTTATATTCTAGTATTATTTGGTTGCAAACACCTTAAGTACACATTTAGTCCGGGTAAAACTTTTTATTTTTGTTTTTTTAAAAACAAAAAAATAGAAATAAAGAATACCCAAAAGTCTTGTACCCAAATATACCCGAAATACTTATAATACTTCGTATTTCAGATATATAATGTCATAGGTATTAATAAAAAAAAATCAAAGCTCTTTAATTTGTTTTTAATGGTCGCCTTTTTTTGTTTAGCAAGTTATTAAACATGCTTTTCGTCGTTGTGGAAAAATAAAAGCTATATATTTTCATAAAGAAGCTACTCCAATTGAACCAGAAGTAATATCTTCAAAGTATTTCTGTCCACAATCACCTTCAGTAAGTTACCCATAAGTTTAATCATACATATTAACAATTCAATGTTGGTTATTTACAATTTTGTTTATTTTACAGGGTTTCAAAGTGGCATACATTGTGTTTTCTCATACTTCAGGATTGGATAATGCTTTATCATTGAAATGCACCGAAAGTAATCCATTCATTTTATCAACTGATGCGGCTCCCTTAAAAAATGTAGTCAAACGTATGAAATATCCTACACAATGCAATAAAGCCACAACATAATGATATAAAATCTTGTTTAAAAAAAAAAAATGTATTTTATTTAAATAGTTTTTATTAATTGTAGGTTGGTGTGTTAACTATAATGACAATATAATCAATCCAGTAGAAGTACAAAGTGAAATTGATTCATACATGGTGGACTATGATGAAAAGTCAGAAATACGTATTCAAGCTGAAAAAGAAGCAGAAGAAGAAGACAACGAAGGATGGAAAACTGTAACGAAAAGGTAAACTCACCTTTGCTATCTTTAAACATAGAATACCTTATTTGTTGCAATTAAATTTAAAAAATGAATGATCAAATTTTAATTTATTTCACTCTGTAAAAAAAAAAAAATTATTGTTGTTTGTTTTTTTACAAATTTTATTCTTTTTTTTCAATTATTAGAGGACGAAATCCTGGATTTGCACGCAAAGAAACAATAACAAAAAATATTTTAAAGAGAGAAGCAAAGAAAAAGATGAAGAAAACCTTAAAGAATTTCTATAGATTCCAGATAAAGGAGTCTAAAATAAATCGTAAGTATAGAAATTATGGCAAAAATTAATAATTCAAATTTTTTATACACTTGAATATTATTTCAGAATTAATGGAACTGCGAAACAAGTTTGACAATGATAAAACTAAAATAGATCTACTGAAACAGAGTAGAAAATTTAAACCGTTTTAATTTATCAATTTTGTTTACGGCTATTATTAATTTTTAATATATTGAATATTTTGTTGTAATTTGACAAAGAAAAAAAGAGTAAATACAGTATTTTGACTTTTTTTATTATTAATATCTATAGATAGAAAAATATTACAATTCTATGATCCTATATATTTAAAAAATATTAAACTGACAACATTTTTTATTATTATCGAATCAATATGTAGCGCGAGTTAGTGTTACACTTTGTTTATTATATGTAAAACTTGTCGAACCTTACAATTCGACTTTTTTAAAAAAAGTTATAGAGCAACATATCTGTAAGTTGAAAAATAAGTAATTTTTTTGGACGTTTATCTCGATTTTAAAAGGAAAGTGATGAACTCTTTTAATTTTTGGCCGAATAAAGTACTTTTAAGGTACAATTTCTAGTATGTATAGAGTTGCTACATAAAAAAATGACAACAGAATTGCAAACATAATGACTTCTCAGCTCTAGATTGTATCTAAAAAATCAAGTTTTATAGGATTACTTTTTTATTTTATTAATATGACTAAAAATATTTTTGTTCATCGTATGTCGGGTTGGATGCACGTTCATCAATAGTTAAATGACTAATAAGACATTTAGTAGTCATTAATAACCAAAGAATGACCATCAATTCATCTTTAACATTTTAACAAACCATCAAAACAAGTTGGGTCTCGAGCTTTAGTATAAACAAAACATTGGGTTTAAAGAAGTCACAAGTCGTTAGAAATCATTATTATAAATGAAAGTGATATAATTACTAATAAATAAAAGCTAATGCAAAACGATTTATAGTAAAAAGTATTCAATAAAAATAAAAATAATTTTTTTTAAGGCAGTACAAACGATTATAATTAAATTATTTGATTTTTGGAGTTTACCTCAATAAAGAAGCGTTACTATAGTATTAGTAACTTTTAAAAATAAGGTAACATACGTATTTGATTAACTTTTTAAGTTCAGAAAAATATTAAAAATGTTGATTGATCGGTTGTAAAATTCATTATTTTGTAAAAAAATAAAATATAAGCTACAAAATTATTATTAAAAAACAAAAAATTTGTCTCATTAAATTATCATCAATAAATAAGGTACAAAAAATATCAATTATCTATAAAAAAAAATGTAAATTACTAGAAGTATAAATCAACTGCTAAATGTACAAATACACATTTTTGGTTTTAGCTATTTGAGGGTTTTTCTCAATAAAAAGTTTGAAACATATTTTTAAGAAATTGTTTAATACGTTATATTTCCATACTCGATCTCTACCTTAAGTACAAAAACTAGTTTTTTACTGCCTATCGGTATTAGTATTTCTAAGGGTAAATTTCTGGCATATTTCTCAATTTTTTTGGGGTGAATTTTTTTTATTACTGACCCTATTAAGTTCTTTTTAGTAACCAGTTTTGATCTGTGGACTTGCTACATGAAGAATTCGGTCCGGCAGTTAGAAAGATTTCGTGGGTGCAGATACTAAAATAAAATAAATTGATTAAAACATCATTAATGTCTATTGAGCCCATCGAGGCTAAGATAAAAATAGCAACATCAACCCAGCTCAAAATGACTAGGGTATAATTTACACTTGTTTTTTTAACAGTCAGATAGCGCTAGTAGTATCATCGACAAACCACGTGCGAAACAGCCCGGACTTCTAATCACTCGCTAATCACTACTACTCGCCAATCTGTTATCATTCAAAGCTTTCAAAATTCAAGCATGATCAAATAAAATTATTTACTATTTAGTCATGCTTTCAAATAATTTTTCAATATTTATATAATATTAGTTTGTCGGTATTGTTGTTGGCGTTGCCGGTTGACACTAAACTTATTGTTCAAAAACCATGGACTTGTTGAGCAAGCAAGGGCTTAGGACAGACGGCCGAAGGCCTGATCAGCTACGGAGAATAAGGTGTCGGATGGGAGTTTTTAGTCAACCTGACGGTAGCGTATATCTTGAACAGGGCAACACAAAAGTGGTCGCAGCCGTTTATGGTCCACACGAAGTACGTATAAATAATTCTCGTTGCAACGGTTGTTGATCGTTTAGTTTAACAGAATCTCAAAATCAGCACAGTATACTTCCATAAATTTAAGTATCTATAACTTTTAAACTAGTTGTCTTAAGGAACATTATAGTTTTAAAATAAAAAATGAGTTCTGTAAAGTAAATTTACTGTGGAACTATATTATAATAATTTGTTAACAGATACGCACTAATCGATCAAAAGCACCCAACGACGCAGCAGTGATAAATTGTCAGTACAGCATGGCCACGTTCAGCAGAAGTGAACGTAAACGTCGACCAAGAGACAACAAGTCCGCTGAGTTGACTTTACATTTAAAGCAAGCAATGGCCACTGCTATTAAAACCGAACTTTATCCTAAATCTCAAATTGATATTTTTGTTGAAGTGAGTTTTGAGTTTGAATTTAAAAATGTTTCAAGCATTATTTTTTAAAATGTCGTATTTTAGGTATTACAATCCGATGGTGGCAACTACAGTGTTTGCGTAAATGCCGCTACTCTTGCTTTGATCGATGCTGGCATTGCGATGGAAGAATTTGTGATCTCATGTACTGCTAGTTTAGCCAACGGAGAAACAGCCCTTGTTGATATTAGTCATCTTGAAGAAACCATGGGTGGACCTAATTTGACCGTAGCTATTTTACCTATTTCTGGAAAGGTATGTTTAACCATATTGTTTCGGATATTATGTTTCCCTGTTTATTACAATAATACTAAATATAATATTTATTTCTTGGTAGATTGCTATGTTAGAGACATCTCAAAGAATACATCTCAACCACGTCGAACCCGTGCTTACAGAGGCAGTGAGGGGTTGTCGTTTTGTTTATGGGAAATTAAATAGTATTGTTAAAAAGCACTATGAAGAAATCGGCAGTGCTTCAAATTGGGGTAACGAAGAATATGCTTGACGTTAATTCTATTTCTATTTTTTTAGTGAACTGAAATGATTACAAGAGCTACCCGTATAATTAAATTAATTTATGTTCAAAAAAATTTGATTGTGTATTATATTTTTGTTAGCAATATTTATTGTTATACAAAAAAAAAAAAACAATTGAATAAAATAAACCTAATTTTTGTATTTAAAATAGTAGTAAGTACTATAATTGTTCAACGTTCTAATATTATTTATAAAATTTAAGCTGATTGGTTTCAACTATTAGGCTTATTGATTTTTTTGTAAAAAAAGCAATTAAATATAAAATTAGACAGTTATCATTATTGAGCGATTCCAGTGAGTAAGAAAATTATGTTTAAAATACATTTTTAGTAAATAGATTTAAAAAATAATTGATTGTAAACAGAGTTAGGCATTATCCAAATAATTTGTTTGATTTAAGCTTTAAACTGACTTTGCATTTATACAATTATTTTCACCTACATTTTAACGTGGTGTTTATGTTTAAATATTTTAATCAATTTAATTCATAATTTTCACTTTAAAATGTAAAAGTGGATTTAATCTCAAAAAGTATAACATTTCACATCGGTAAAAACGTCAAAAATCGCTTTTTTCGGACTAAAAATAATTTAACAAGTAGATGAAGTGTTTGGCTTGCAATCAGGCTGGTCTTTAAGTACGCCTAACGGTTAATTATAGTAGTATGTTCATAAAAAGACAAACAATTATTACAAACATTGTAAAAATTCAGAATAATCTCTACTCTATTCTCCTTAAATGAGGTCTGAATATTTATGATCTATTTTGCCCAACCCTGGTTGGAAAGCTAAAAGCACATTTTGTTTATTAAGCGCCTTGGAATTTCGTTAGGCAATATACAGCACCAGAATGCACCAGCTATTACTTGATAAACAACTAACAAGTGATTTTTTTTTCTGAGATCAGATATTTTTTTATTTTATCCCAACATTTCGTATACAACTTCTGAACGGATATGTTAATGGTAGACGGAAAACAAAATTATTAGTAATAAATATAACTGCCGGTGTGTATGATATACAAGGTTATACATTAAAGAAATGTTATTACTATTTTTTAAACATTACGATTGAAATATAACTACAATAAGTAAAACATAAATTGATCCGAGAGACATTCTAAACGGGCAGGGTATAAGTTGTCCGGAAAATCCTATTTGTTTGTATAGTTGTATTATGTATACTAAACAACAATAATAATTAAAACGATAAGTGTTTGTCCGCAAGTGTGGGGCGTGTGTCGAATAATATAACTTAATACAATAATAATTAATTTAAATAAAAAAACAAAAACTATAAGACGAACTAGCAGTTCGATAAGATGTTTTCACGTAAAAATAGTTTATATTATAAATATTTATACTGTACAAAATTCGCGATCAGGAGACAAGAAGGGTAGTCGGAGAGACTATAAGCCGATTAAGAGTTACTACGGTCAGACGAAATAGAACAATAATATTACATTTTCTTTTTTAATGTAGACAAAAACAAAAAAAATTACAACAACAAGTACTTAAGTCTCTCAAACGCAACGCGTTTTTTTAAAGAAACAAACGTCTGACGTGCGCTTCATTAAATTATAACTTGAGCATTTTATTTTTATCATAATATTTTACATAATATTATTGTGGTTTTTAAAAATCGACTAATGTACATGTATTATGTTATTATATCAAATATTTTATTGCATTTGAGAAAAAAAATACCAAGTTTCAATGTACCATATAAAAAAAAAAAGAGAGCAAAAACTTAACAACTTTTACGGTTTATTGCGTTTAATTGATTTCACCGGTCGTGTACACAGTAATAATAATAATAATAATAATAATAATAATATAAAAACAGCGCGACAATGTTGTTTGGATAAAGGGTTCGATATAATTAATTTTTTCTGTTTCTTGTTGTATAAAACAGAAACGATACATAAATGAATAAATATAACGGATATCATAATAATTTACACACGTCATAACGTCCATAGGTTGGTACATACAACATCTTTTTTCCGATCTGCACGGTAGTGATAATAATAATATATATGATGTTACAATAGTAATAATAATAATAATAATAATAACATAATAATTAATAGTGATAACGAAACAAAAACAAAAGGAAAGGAAAACAAATTAACATCATCATTATCATTATTATTATTATTATTATTATTTCGATACAATAATAATAATTTTATTTCTCTTTAAACGTTGTGTAATAATATAATATATATTTTTATAATGGGTAGTTAAATTTGGCATCGTTTAGGACTAGAACGATACGGAGCGTACAATTATTTACAAACGATAATATTGTATTTATCGTTGATTTTATGCTATCCCGTCGGCGGATCAGCACCCCGACGTACGACGCGGCCACCGTGCGGGTCGTTCAAAACAGCGATACGCCGCTATTGTACCGACGCGGTAGTTGCGGCGGCAGTGGCGGCTGCGGCCGACATGGCCGTTGGCTCGAGCAGCGTTTCGGAGTCCGGGCTGCCGTACCCGCTCGAGCCGTCGTCGACCACGGACGCCGCTCCGGCCGCCGTCGCTGTGGCCGCGGACGACACCGGTTGACTCGCAGACAACAATGCAGCACCGGCACCGGCGACGCCGCCCGGCTGTGGCAAAGAGTACTGTTGTTGTTGTATTCGGTGAGGCGGCGGCGGGTGCAGGCGGCGTTCGTTCGCAGCGGCCCCGGGCAGGTGAGAGGTGATTCCGTCCACCTCGACGGTCGGTCCTACAACGTCTCCTGTTGTTGTTGAGTCGGCGTTGTCGTTTGCCGTTGACTGTTGAGATAAAAAAAAAAAATTAGTAAAAAACTCAAAAAAAAAAAAAAAAAACCCCAACATAATAGTACAAATTTATTATGCGTTATCTAAAAAAACCTATGATTAGAGAGAGAGAGAGAAGATAATATGCAAGTGAATTCCGAGTAAGCGAAAGAAGGACAAGAGATTTTTAGAATATGTTTTATTTTATTCATCGTTACATGTGGACCAATAGGCTCAGTACTCGGGACAACAATTTCCACGCCCCATACCTTCCCCTTTTTACCAATTCAACATCTAGGATGGTATAAGACGATCACGACAGTCGATATATTATGTAGTTGATCTAGATCGTGGTTAGTGACGATAGAAGAAGAGCTACGGACCCACAGAATGAACTTATGGCAAATATGAGCAAATTTCACCAAACAACGGTCAACGAATGACAAATAAAACAAAAATATCGAATAACGTTACCACATTGTCTTCAGAATTTACTTCACTATTTACTAACACAGGGCCCTGATTAAAAAATTACATTATTTTGTTTTAATTGACTTGATTGTTTGGGAGATATTTGCAAAATAATATAATATAATGTATTAATAATCTACTATGTAAATGCTTGTGTGGATAAAATATAGGTAAATGTATCTACATCATATGATATGATAATAATATGATAATATTATTGCTCATAATAAAGTTATTCGGATAACTAAAATATAATAATACAATTATTACCAATTTTTTAAAATGCTTTTGTTATGAAAACACATTTACCCAAGTTAAAACGGTGACATTTTTTAATTAAAAATAACAATATCATCCAAATAACATTATTAATGGTTCATTCGAATGATGTCTATAACTCGTATTGTAACACTACAGCAAACAAATTATGAATATAAAAATATGTGTTAATATTTAAAAACCAAGTTTTGGCTAGAGATTAAATGTTTAAATAATAATATAAAACAAAATATTTTAAAAGTTGTAAAAGTAAAAAATACTGGAAATATTATATTAATATTTAAACGTTTTTTATAATATTTTTGCAACCGATTGTAATCCCCAGCCAAAACACTGTTTAAAATGGATAAAAAATATTAAGTAAATTTTTTTTGATAAAGGTTTAAACACATTTATATATTTTTTAGGAAAGATTGACGAATTTCGGATTGGCAAAAGCTTAAAGTAATGTCTAATTCAATCGCCGCATGCTATATAAATGTATATGAAAGAGCTTTTATTCATAATTATTAAATTGATTCGACTGCGCTAAAAGAGAAATGACAATCAAAGAGAAGCGCAATCGAAATTCAATTTCCTTTTGTAATAACGTAGCCGAACTTGGATGTATAAAAATTTATCAGATTTCAATAGTGTAATATATTCAATTTGAGATCAGACGCGCTTTCCATTATTCCGTGCAAGTCGAACAGCTGTTAATTTAGTTGACTTCTGTCGCAATCTATTTAAAATAAAACGGATTTCCTTTTATAAACTGCACTAAAGTAACAATAAGCGAATACGCTTTACGTTATATTAAGTGTCAATATAGTGTTAAATAAAACCGAACGGATCGACAGTGGCATTGCGCGATGAGGATGTAATGTCATCCCCAACATATTAATGTTATATATTATATTATGCGTTTTAAAAAAGTGGCGTTTCCTCGATGGCTTCATAGAGGAGGGGTTAAGGGATTAAGCCACTTTCCTAATTGTCGAATTTTAGTGAATAAAATTCCCCGTTTCACCAATTACACCAATCGTTTTTTTTTGGGATACTCCTTTTAATATTAAATTCTGTCCGGCAACTGAGGATGGACAAAGCAAACCGGGACAGTATAAAAAAGTCTTTATCGACATCCAATAGGGCGTTAAAAGAAACAAATTTATACAGAATTGTAAACAAATGAAGGAAAATAATGAAGTCGCCGAGTCTTAAATAACACTAGCACTTCATTTGAGATCACTTGTCAAAATATGATATTGGTCTTTCTCGACCTAAAGGAATGAAGACAACACTAAATAAAAATATAACATAGCGATTGGAGCGGCTGGTCCGTAGTGAGTATGGTCATGGTTACGCCCGGCCCCTGGACTTAGAAATGAAAAAGAAGAGGGGGGGGGGTACAAAATTAAAATACACACAAGAATGGAAAAAAAAAATGTATATTTTCACCACGTGTGTAGGTTTTTGCGTGAGTTATAGGGTCGCCCCATCGAATGTCCTACCTGTAATCTACTGACTTGCCTTCTTATGTGCGCCAGACTGGACGAGTTGTACGTGGCCATGTTGGCGAACACCAGCCGTTCCTCGTAGTCGTACTCGCACAGGATCTTGTTCTCGCACAAGTAGAAACGGTCGCCCACGCAAAACCTGGGACGGACAAAATGAGCGATAAGCAAATACAGTGCAAGTATAGGTGCAATTATTTTAGCCAGTGAAACATTGGACGAGGGCTCACCTGTGGTTACACTGTTGACACGCGAAGCACTCCAAGTGGTAGACGTTGTTTTTGGCTCGCATCACCATTTCGAACGCGGGTATTACCTTGTTGCAGGCTGCGCAATTGCCGGTCGCACCGAACAACCTGAAAACAAATCCACGGCGGTCAACAAAATTACATAGGCACTAATTAAGTAAAAGTATAAGGTATATGAACGGGACACAATTGTCGAGGTCTTGTTCGAATGACCGGTAATTGGAAACTCGCAGGAGCGATTGGTTGGGAGAAAAGCATAATAATATACAGCTACAGTTTGTGACAAAAAAAAAAAAAAAACACACAGGCCGGCGTGGAGTTGAAGTGGTCTTTTGCTGTTCGATTCAACAGCCGTAAGACCGAGAGGCGGATATCCGTATTCATTAAGCGACGACTACAAGACGGAATTTTGCCATTCCGCAACAGGGATGTGCATGTAGGGTGTGCATGCCGTATTACCTAACAGCGGTAGCGGCGTTGGGGAGTGGTGGTAGCAACGGCGGAATGGGCTCGATGTATTATATTAACTCGGTGGGTAATAATATGTGTTTGTACGTGGAAATTGTGTTTTCCGTCATCGGGCCGAAAGCAATACAAGTCGTGCGGCGAGTGAGAGTGAGAGAGATAGAGAGATACAGTTGACTTTTGTGTGCTGGCCCAGCGTTTTGGCCGACGTACGGTTTTAATTAAATTCAACAGCCGACGGGAACAACTTCCTCGCCCTTCCCGACCAAATCACTTTCATAAACGGATTTAATTGAATCCGGAATAGGTGTCCCGCACAATCATCTCCTCGCTCTCGGGCCCGTGCTCGACAAACACCGTCGCCGCCGCCCATTCGGTCTCGGAAGTTTTTTATTTGTTTAATTTCCTTGGCCGTTAGTTAATCTTACATTTCGCTAATTAAACGTCCGCGTTCACCAACGACCCAAAGATCACACGCAACATGCGAACCCCATTCTCACACATTGAACATACCTGAGGTAATCCCTTTTGCACAGTATCAGGTTGGCCTTGGTGTACAAGGTGGAGCCTACCTCGCCCAGCCGACAGTCGCAACAGCCACACTTGAGACAGTCCTCGTGCCAGAACAGATCCAGAGCCTTGAGCAAGAACCGTTCGGTGATGCGCTTACCGCAATTGGCGCACTCCCTGGCTATCATGGTGCCCGTGCCGCCGTTCAAGCCGGATAACGCGGTCGCGGTAACTGTACCGCCGTTGGTCACCACGTTTCCGCCTCCGTTGGTCTGTTGATGCTCTGTAACCGAAATACTACTTGTAAGGAAGTTTAAAGAAAATAACAATTTTACTCCAAAAACAAAGAGTATATCATAATATAAAATGCCTGCAAATATGTTTGTAATAGGTTCTCTATGTTAATGAAAACTAATCAACTAATTATATAAAACAATATTGTATTTAAGAAAAAAATTACCTTGATTGAAAATAACTTGTAAACATTTTAATTAGTACCTGTTATTATACGGATTACATTTTATAAAAATTTTTTTGAAACAAAAATAAAACCAGTAAATGTTCCAAAAACTCCGCAAAAAAATGTCTGAAGAATAAATTTATATTATACTTAATTTTATTTCGGGGTTTCATTGTTGTATAATTACATTTATATACTTATACAGGAAAATGAAATTCGAATAATATAAAGTTAGTGTAAAATGATCTATTTGGATAAGATTTCATTGTAAAATAAAAAAATACCCCATAGAATGCTAAATATTCAAAGTCATGTTTTTTACTTTCTAATAAAACGGTTTTTGATCTTAATAAATCAGTTTGCATTATAATTAAAAATATATATATATATATATACGTAAGCTCCATTAACTTCCTAGCCTTGCTTATAACAATCCATCAGCCACAGCATGGGCGCAGGTGCATTAGGTCAAACCAAACCTATTACTCGTTTATAGAGTACCCGTGCACACTGCACATGCCGTTAAGATTCCTCGCGCCTCCATTTACGGTGGTTAATAAATTACAATTTTTAATTAAACCAAACGTTTTGGAAATTCATTTTCAACACTACCAACAAAGTGCGGCGCGTTAAGTATTGCATTTAGATTTCAGACTGCTTCAACGTGAAATCGCAAAAGTCTTCATCGAACGGCTACGGGTTGTAATCGTGCGACCCGGCCGAACCTTAATTTATATCAAAATACGAGCGCTGCGTGTGCGTTGTTTGTAATAACAATACCAGATTATTAGAGTATGTTAAAAAAAAAAAATGGATACCGACAATTTGTTTAGGATAGAACGACCGTTTTCGAGGGAAACGGGCCACGGGAGGGCTGTCAATGGACGGAGATGGAGAGAGAGAGAGAGAGATAGGGGCAAGAGGCTTAAACACATACATGCTGCTGATATAGAACATTGTTTTGGAAAATTGCCGAGTGAAATATTGCAAATTAAATTATACACTATACCGCGCCATGTATCTGTATATATATAATATATAGAGAGAGAGGGAAAGGCGTTTCCGTCCTTAGCTCTTTAATTACATGCAGACTAATTTTTATTTTTTTTAATAAAAACTAATATCGCGAGCCGCGCTTGTAAAACAGCGCCCCCGTACCCCTGCACTGTTCTCCCCGACACTTACATAATGCCTCAGCCGTCTTTTCAAACTTAATTTTAAACTTCTCATAAACGATCCTCTAAACTTATTTCATTTAAATTTCATTTAATTTGTATGTGTATATGTATATATATATATATATATATTATATACACACCCAACCGATTCCCGTGTCCGCGGAAACGAACATCATCCTCCAGACTTTAATGAATTTCACTCACCACCTCTTACCCCATCCATTCGGCCGTCCATCAATTTAATCCCAAAATCGAATTAATGAAAGTTCTGCTTTCCTTCGCTACTTTTGATGCGTCTCGCCAGGGCGCGCGACAATACTTAAAGTTGCGTTTTACAATGGACTTTTCTTCCACATTTCCCCTTTCCCACGGTCGTTGGCCAATAGCAAAGCACAAACCTTCACCACCGTTTTTTACCCACGTCTGTGATCGGATTGATATTTTTACATTACACTGATTGTAGCGTCACAACACCACAGGCGGAAGTTTAGCCGGGGGGGGGGGGCTTTCGGTACTAAAAACCTTAAGACCCGAACAAGACATTTTTTTCAATAGGACCATTTTAAAAATTCACTGTAGTAGTATGTTTTGGCCGTATCGAATCTTGTTATCACAATCCTGTTATCACAATCCTGTTATCACGATCTTGTTATCACGATCTTGTTATCACGAACCTGTTATCACGAACTTGTTATCACGATCTTGTTATCAGACTTGTTATCACGATCTTGTTATCACGAACTTGTTAGCGTGATAACAAGATCGTGATAACAAGTTCGTGATAACAGGTTCGTGATAACAAGATCGTGATAACAGGATTGTGATAACAAGATTGTGATAACAAGATTCGATACGGCCAAAACATACTACTCACTGTTTTGGGTAATATTCTGCCATTACGCGTCACAGTTAGATAAAATGCAAAATAAAGGCATGACACACAACTTGTAATGAAATCCGAGTGTCGCTGTTGCAGCAGCTGTATATACATATCTGACTCGACATGATAAAAAACAATTTTTAATTAGTTTCAAGTCCGATCGACTAATAGTCGTTTTGGCGGGAGAAAACTAATTATTTATAAGGACACGTCGAAAACCTATTGATAGTGAGTTGTTACCGCAAGGAGTACAATTTGGCTTTCTCGATAAATTAATAAAACGTTACTCAATCGTTTATTTGGACCGTTCGAATTATACAATTAGTTTAATTACTTTCTACAAATTAAAAATCTAATTAACTAGTACCTAAGTAGAAAAGAAAGTTGTACTATTGTTTTCAGTCAAATCCGATTGTAAATAAGCAAATAGTTCAGTGCATAAAGGGGTGTAGCTAAATCGGTGATATAATTTAGAATGAGGTATAATTATACATGAAACGCATTTGTTTTTTTTTTTTACGGAATCTAATTGAATTGATTGTATTTTAAAGAAATAATTATGTAGTTAGTAATATGAACCAGCTTCAAAATACGATTTGTATAACATTATTTAGAAAAGGTTTTAAGTTTTATGTCTTTTAATATTATTGTAATTTGCTTACTATGTTGTATTGTAAATAATTAATATAATAACTGTCATTTTACAAAATCTGTTTTTCTTCGAATGTTAAAGTTAATTAATTTATATTTTATAACTTAGAAATAAAAAAATAATTCATAAACCAGCGTTGGCCGTATAATGAGTTAAAACACATTTTCTGAGAACACGAATATTGAAATAATCAGTATACTTTAGAAAAAATGAAGTGATGCGAGAACTAAAAAGGTACAAGTGACACTTTTCTCATAAACAAGTTTTTGATCTCACAGTGTTTTACTATCTGTATAGGTTTTACAATTTTTTGAAAAAGATAAATAAGAAAAATATTTAATATCACTCATAAGAAAACACACGTATGCATATATTATTTTTAATTTGGTCTCCGGTTAAATTTAATATAAAAGACGTTTATGACGTTTCATTCTCATCACTTAAATTATTAAATTTAACAGCCGATGAGAAAAACATAAAAAGATATAGTCGATGTGAATGCAATTTTTAACAGGTAGGTACTTTTTATCGGGCTTTACAAAGTACCAAAATCGAACGAAATGCTTTCGACTCCAAATGAAAACCGACTCTACCGAGTGTAACAAAGATTATATTATAGAGCGTTCTAAAAACAATGTCAGTGAAACTTTTCTTGTCGTCGATGAAATCTTCGTCGATCCAGTATATTTTATTAGCTATTAACGGTCATGTTAGGACTGTAATAATTTTTATAATGTTGACTTGCAAAAGTCATATACTCTATACGATAACAACAACAACAAACGGCGATGTAATGTATTCATGTGGTTGTCGGGGGTGATGGGATTTTTTTGGTTTTTGTGTTGTGTTCAGAAAACGCATTGGCAGAGCAAAAGAAACCCACAATAATGGTAACAGTAAACATGCCGACGCGGAAGCACCGCCGAGTGGGTTTCCACAAGAAAAGTTAACCGAGACACGGTTTTAAGGGGCCGGAAAATTCCCCGCCACCAGGCCACGATTACATTAATATTTTAAAACATTTATTTCAAATAATATAATAACGCATAAAAGTATCCACGTCTTGCCTCCACTTCCGTACCGGTCTGTCGTTGTTGTTATGATATAATACAATATTATTATGAATGCGGCGTGCCGTTTTGACACAGCGTAACATAATAATCCACTTACCGTCAAAATAGTAATATAATATTAACAAAATTACGTGGGCCCTGTTCGAGTACCGAAATTGCATATTATACCGCGTTTCGATGGGCAGCGTGGAATAAAAAAAAAAAAAAAATCGGCTGTTTCTAATATTATCAAAGACGGACAAATTTTAAACATCATTTCGTATTAAAAAACAAAATGTATAGAAAATATATACATATTCAACACCGTTAAAGAGGTGATACCATTTGGGCAAGTCAAAAGCATTAAGAGAACGGTATACCTCATACTTATTAATTAGTATTAAAATTTGTCGGAAAATTTAAAATCAAATCTAAAACTATTGTGTATAAATTAATTTGTACAGTAATTACGGTTATTTATTGCTAATTATATTTTTATCAGACCATCGCAGCATCCATTAACAAGGTTGTTAAGCGGTTTTTTATTTTTTTATTTACAAAAACATAGCAATCAGATGTTAACGCAACCGTTATTGTCCATTATGGTTTTAAAGTAAAAATACCTATTGTTGAAAAAAATCCATTTTTTAATATTTCATAACAATCATATTTTTGTATAGGAAATATTTAAAAAACAGACCTGTTAATGGTTAAATTGTTCGATGTAAAATTGATTAATATTTTTCTAATAGGTATAATTTATATTTAATAATTATGTTGTACAAACGTTAGTAAATTTAACTATGAATGTTTTGAATAAATATGTTTGAACTTTTGTATATTCTATAATTAGAAATTTAAATACAATTTTGAATCTTTCCTTAACACATTTTAAACAGTAAAATAGTAGAGATCTATTTTCTATTTTAGAAGTACATCGAGTACCATCAAGTTACATCAAAGTACCTATTGTCTCTGAATCTCTGATAGTTAAAAAAAGAAGATTTCAGTCCTGCGGGAGTGGCCATTTATCCATTAAGGAGGCCTTCTTCTTCCCGTTT